ATCTCCCCCATTGCAGGTGGTCTGTGGGAACCGGGTTCATGAAGACTTTGATGTGGTTCTATTTATGTCTCTATGTTAGACAATAACCCTGAAGCCATGGCTGCTGTGATTCTGCCAGGATAGCCTCCAAAACAAAGCACGGACCTCGTTTCCAAGGGACCCACCACAATTCAGTATTAGCACAGTGCCCAGAGCCCTAGTTGTGGATGGCCTCGTTGTTTGTGTCTGCTATCAGTGTGGCCGTCAGGACAACAGGGGACTCACTGACTGTTTCTCCCTGAAGCCAGAAGGCCAATATTCAGTAGAGAGATGGGGCTAATCCACTCTGTACCATCAAATATAGTATCTCCAGTTTTCTTCATTGCTGGAGGGCTTTACTGGCAGGTGGTGGAACAGGTTCCTAGGTTCGTGTTGATAGATCTTAGCAATATAAGTATTCCTTCATTTATATTTACTGGGTAAAGATCTCTGCAGTACGCTGCCTCATTTGATATTCAAAACTGTTTTGTGGTATAGGAAAAGTTTGTAGTTTTAGTCTCATTTTCAGGTGAAGGGAGACACTGGAAGGGTTAAGTGATGTGCCTCAGATCTCCAGGCCAATAATTAGAAGATCCAAGAACTCTTCCCAGCTTTGGGATCTCTTCATCGGCTTCTGTTTGATCTGCAGTCACCTGCTGTAGAAACTGCTAGGACAGGGGCTGTGTGATGGCGTCTAGGACCCTGTTCACCAGGACATCAGACCCAGCAACAGTCAGACTTCTAGTTGCGGCTACTGCTGTGACATCACCAATTCTACCATACTGATTGTTAGCCATGCAGCACGTCAACGTCACAGACTTAAAAAATGATAATCAGACTCCTACTAACTTGCCCTGTCTACAGGGGTTGGAGGAAGGTGCAGTAAGGGGCATCTTTTCATGGGGTTTGGGTTCTGTTTTTAAGGTCTGGATAACAAAAAATTTATAACTGGATCACGATGTAGTAGCAGTGACTTTCTTGTTCAATTAGAAAATATACTGTGTTTATAGCAGCAATGGCCATGGTTGCCAAATTGTGGAAGGAACCAAGATGCCCTTCAGCGGACGAATGGATAAGGAAGATGTGGTCCATATACACTATGGAGTATTATGCCTCCATCAGAAAGGATGAATACCCAACTTTTGTAGCAACATGGACGGGACTGGAAGAGATTATGCTGAGTGAAATAAGTCAAGCAGAGAGAGTCAATTATCATATGGTTTCACTTATTTGTGGAACATAACAAATAGCATGGAGGACATGGGGAGTTAGGAGAAGGGAGTTGGGGGAAATTGGAAGGGGAGGTGAACCATGAGAGACTATGGACTCTGAAAAACAATCTGAAGGGTTTGAAGAGGTGGGCGGGTGGTAGGTTGGGGGAACCAGGTGATGGGTATTAGAGAGGGCACAGATTGCATGGAGCACTGGGTGTGGTACAAAAACAATGAATACTGTTATGTTGAAAATAAATTTTAAAAAATGATTTAAAAAAAAATGAGCAAGCGAAGCAGAAATATGGCATGCACACTCCCGGCATCACCCTCACCATGAAGCTGGGTGATACAAGTGTGGATTCAGAGCTGTAAACCACTGGCTTCATGTCTCATAACTCTTGACACCATGAAAGCAATCCAGAATACAAATCTAATCAAGAGGAAGGTACCGCCCTGGTTATCTTACAGATTATGCTCAGTATAATTCCCACACATCACTTTCTGTTAAGCAAAAGCTCCATGTGTGAGCAGAATAAAGATAAGAAACTAATTAAAAAAAAAGAAAAGAAAAGAAAATACACTATGCCTGGTGAATTTCCAAAGACTATGCTGAATTGTAGAGACCTATTAAGAAATATTATAGGGTGCCTAGGCGGTTCAGGCAGTTAAGTGTCTGACTCTTGATATTAGCTCAGGTCTTGATCTCAGGGTCATGAATTCAAGCTGTGTGTTGGGCTCCACAGTAGGCACAGAGCCTACTTAAAAAAAAAAAAAAAGGAAATATTAGAAGGACTTCTCTCCAAGAGCTCATAATTCCATTGAAAAGATAATTCATGTGCACATAAAATAACCAGCAACTTAGGGCAATGGTTCATTAATACTAAGGAGAGGACCACATGGGGAGGCTGATAACTTAGCAGCACCAGCACAGTGAATTGAGGTGATCTTAGAAGACTTGGATTTTCATGGTGGAAATAAAAGTCAGATGCTATATGTGAAAGAGTGGTAGGCATTCTAGATGACGGCTTGAGGATAACAGGGAAAAAAATGGGCAAAAACATGGAAATGAATAGAGCATGTTGGAAATATAATTAAATCCATCCTACTAAACGTAAGAATTTACAATAGTGAGGGGGTGAGAGACTGATGTCCAAAAGTTGGGAAGGTTATGGATGGCTCTGAATGCCAGTAGGAATAATTGATTCTCTAATCTTGAAAGTAGTTCTTTGGGTGTTTTGAGATAGACACTGATATGTAAGCCGTGGCATTTTCCCTGGTGGCTGTGCCCAGGAGACAATGAAGAACACAGGGGAAAACAGACTGTCCAGGAGAAAAAAGTTAGTAAATGGAGCAGACGTCCCGATGCAAAGTGACCCATCAGTGGAGCTTGATGGCTGCTAGCTGGGAGGAGGGGGCTGGGGAGACCTGGTCCTGCCGCCAGCGCTGGCCTAGGGGTTCCTGCGCAGACACTGCCCCTGCTTCGGTTTACTTGTTCTTGGCTACAGCTTCCTTCCTCACACAGCCACAGATTGTTCTATGGCTCTAAAAAGAAGTTTTATTCATCTCTCTTTCGCCCAGGCCGTCAAGAGTGGCCTGAGAGATGATGGCAAACTTGGCAGACACCTCCCATGTGAATTCATTCCTTCGTACTCGGTGCCATCTTATACCACATTGACTCATATTGAATCTGATTGTACCGCATTGAATTGAAAGGACCTGCCCACCTAACCCTTTGGCCCTCTGACTTTGTGTCCTCTCTGTGAGCCGTTTCTGTCGGGGAGTCCTCACTCTCAGTGCTGGGGGATGTGTGGGTTGTTGCTGGCCACACAGCAGTGAACAAACAGCACACCAACCCTCATAATTCCGTCCATGTGTGTTTTACAAACAGTGCGTCCTTTTCTTGGAAAGTGACAGTATTGTTTGGGGAGAGGTGAGCCTATTAGGGTCCTCAAGATCACCTGTTTTGAAGATCCACTAGGATTCCTCCTAGAACTCTGTAAACATTACAGCTGTGATACATTACAATGAAAGGCTGCAAAGCAAAATCAGCAAAAGGATAGGAACATGGGGCAAAGTCTGGAGGAAACCAGGTGCAACCTTCTGAAAGTCCTCTCCTAACAGAGCCACACAGGATGGGCTTCTTTCCTCTGATACAAGTGGTGACAGCACATGTGAAATATTGTCTACCGGTCTCATTAGAGGGCCAGTGCCCAGACATTTTATGGGGTGGGGGGGGGGCTGGTTATGTAAGCACCTTCTGCATGACACATTCCCAAATCCAAGACTCTCAAAAGGAAAGCAGTGTTCATCACAAACCACATTGTTTGTACCAACATTTTAGGTGCAATGAGCCACTCTTAACTGTTTGGGGGAATTGGGGCACCCTCTTAAAATCCAAGTTTCTAGATGCCAGCCAAGGGCCAACTTTGTAAGCAGGCCTTGTAAGGAGAGCGGTCTCTAGCCTGTTGGGTTCACTCCTGTGGACTTGGAATGATTGTTAGCACTTCAGTTGCTGAGAAACAGGTTTTTGATGGAGAAGTGTTTCAAAATCCCAGGGAGTCTTATGTTGTTAAGTCATGTTTCTGGAAGTGAGATTTGAGTTTGGGACAAAAGAAAAGGATTCCAGGAGGAATCGTGGAGCCCAGAGGGCTGAAAGTGGTCCTGGTCTTCTGTCATATGCAGGAGATGAGAGAAGCAGGTGGAGAACATGAATGGGTTTTAGGAACCCAAGAGAAGGGAAAGGATCAACATGGAGGAAGTACTCCTTAGTGTAATGCTGCAGATGGGTAGGAGTTTGGGGCACCGAAAAAAAAGTGCCATTGGGAAGTTTTATAATAATGTGTAAATCGATCTTTTTTCTTAAAATGATCTGTATACGTTAAAGCAAGACTTTTTCAGCCAGCACCTTAATAACATCCCTGCCCATTGCATCTTTCTCTTTTCTTTCCATCACTTTACAAAATCCCTATTTCAATAGTTTTGAGGTCATTGTTTTGCATTAGTTTATTTGGGTTCAGATGTCACCGGCAGATAGAAATGGATGATCTTTGGGAAAACTAAACAAAATTCTTTGAGCATTACTGCCTCCTTCTCTCTGGTAATTATTTGAGGACAGCAGCCGCCAAAAAGTATCTCTTCCATTCTTGATGGAGAAGTAATTCTGTTTATTCATTTAAGAGGATTGTGTTTGCTATTCCATTAATCTCATTGCTGCTTGCTAGTGAAGAATGAAAATTGAAAGCTGCTTGTTTTGAGTCCCAAGGGGATGGCGAAAGTGTTTGAATTTCCTACGACACTCTTGGACTCTTTCCCAGACCTTGACTTCTAGGTCCTAGCTCTGATACTTAATTTCTCTCTTTGTGGGTTCTCAGATGTTAACATTGTGCAGCCCCTCTGAGATGGATGGCCATCATTACAAAGAACCACATGACCCAATAGTGGCTTTTCCTTCGCTTGTAATAAAGACCTATCTGAACCATGTTTATTTGGGGAAAAGAAACAACTCTTTTTGTGGCGGACTTTGAGTAGTTAGTGGCACAGCGAATACTGGTACCTCCTCTCACACTCAAGGTGTATCAGGAATGGGAAGCTCCTGGATGGCAGAGGGTGGCAGATGTAAGTGCTGAATGTGGCATTTGCAGTCCCTTGAGTCACCTTGAGTGGTAGGGCCACTTTTGGCTTCACTCACTTCATTGGACTTCAGGAAGGCAAATGCATGCGGTGATTGAAGTGGTTTTAAATTCTCTGTCTCTTGTCCTAACATCCCAGGGCTTCCAGCAAAAATTCTCCTTCCACAGTAAAGAGATTGTGGCCATCAGCTGCTCCTGGTGCAAGCAGGCGGTAAGTTTTGGGACAAAATGAAACAAAATGGGCTTATGCTTTATCACAGCAGACTTACATCCTTACTTGAGTTACTGTCTACAAGTGGAAGGTTATTCTAGTTTGTGATCATTTCTCTCAAATAGGGCCCTTAAAGGAAGAAAGATGAAAACTATAGAACTGTAGTCTATACGACCTGGAAGAAACTATAGAGGTCAATTAACTTCTTCGTTTATATACACTGAAGCCTAGGATCAGAGACTGGGAAATCTTCCCCTGGTTCTAACCCTGGGTCTAGAATCAAGGACTTCTTACTCCATAGACTGTATTTCTTCTGCTACTCTAGATTGTTGATAACTGCTTTCTGGTTGAAAGTTGCAACATTAGGTAATCCCTCTAACACCAGAATCCAGCCATGTTGGTCCTTCTGTTTTTGATGTGGGTGACTGTCCTATGGGATGGTGTTGGGTAAGGAGTGATCTCGTACCCTTCTTTAGGCTTGGATATTGTTACAGCTGTATGTATGTTCATCGAAATATAACTCTTCTTTACATTTGAGCGTCTATATTCATTAGGATCCAATGGTAGTTTCCCTGTTTTTCTCTTTTATTTATCCTTTTTTAACACCTCTGATCCAACCAGATGGTTCATTTTCTTGTTTGCTTATGCACCCGTTCTTTTCTTTAACCAGACAGTGCTAACTCATGGGTTGGCCGACTATGGCCCATAGACCAATCTGACTGCTGCCTGTTCTTATAAATAACATTTTATTGGAATACAGCCATGCCCATCCATTTATATATTGTCTGTGGCTTCTTTGGTGTTACAACAGCAGAGTTGAGTAGTTATATCAGGGAAACTTAAAGCTAAACTATTTACTATGTTGGCCTTTTATAGAAAAGGTCTGTGGACCCCTGCTCTGAACCCTCAGTTTACCTACTTTGTTGAATGACCATATAATTGGGACATAGAGTCTCCTCATTGCACAGGCAGCCTGAAAAGAAAGGGCTTTGGTGTTCCAGGTAATTTAAGAGTTTATAGGAAGACTTTAGCCCTCTACACACATCAGATTTAACTATCCAAACAAGCCCACAGGGCCAGAGCAGATCCCTTTAGTTGCAATGTAGAAAATTGACATTTTTGTAGGTCAAAACTTTTGCATTTGGGGAATTTTATAAAGTTTTGTAAAGTTGGACCTAGCTTAATTTCCCTAGACCCCCAAGAATCAGGAGAACCTACTGTCTCTAGATAGGGAAGTGACATTTCCTTTCAGTTATTTTTTTTTAGAGATTTTACTTATTTATTTGACAGAGATCACAAGTAGGCAGAGAGGCAGGCAGAGAAAGGGGGGGAAGAAGCAGACTCCCTGCTGAGCAGAGAGTCCGATGCAGGGCTCCATCTCAGGACCCTGGGATCATGACCTGAGCCAAAGGCAGAGGCTTTAACCCACTGAGCCACCCGGGCGCCCCCCCTTTCAGTTATTTTTTACACAAATAATCTTTGTGCTTCTGTTCAAGAAGCTCACAAAGGTAAAGTCCTTGAATGAAACTATACCATCAAGGCAGTGTGTCCACCTGGAGAGAAAGAAGCTAGTTCCAGTTCTAGTTCTCCCCTACAGAGTCTAGGCTGCTGGTTTCCCTGATCTGTTGAGGCCCCACCTGTGGGAGAGCATCACTAGCAGTTTGGGCTCCAGTAGAAGACATCTGCTCCACCACTGCAGCTACCAGGCTGTGGTGAGATGGCTTATCCAGGGCCCATTAATTTGGGAACTCAATCCCATTTTACATGGTGCCCTTGTTCTCTTGTCATTAACTCATAGTCCAGTTGAATCACCTGTAGGTGATTTTGCAAGAAGTAAAGATACAAAACATTTTAAGACAAATTACACTGGCGAAATATTTTAAGCCTACAGGTAATCCATTCTAGGATATCTCATGTCCATAGGCATTTCTGCTGCAGGAAACAAAAATAAAAACTGGGTGTAAGAGCTCGATTTTGGGGGTTTAGGCTCTGACTCCACCTTGTAAAAGTTAGGCACTTTGGGACATAGCTCTCAGTCTATTTAGATTGGTGATTACTCAGGTATAAATTGAGAGTTGAAATAGGTCATCTCAGAGAACTTGACCATTTTAGAAGTGCAGTGGGCATCCGTTTAGGGATTTATTTGAATTGCTAAAAGAAAATCAATTTTTGAAGAGGGTATTCAGATAATATTTTCTAGTATATCACTGTTTGCAGATCACAAATAACTGGTCGTAGGGGAAATTACTAACTTATTTTGCATCCCCATTTAATTAGTAATTTGCTACAGGATCATGTAAGGATAGGCAGAAATGAAGACAAATTCCCCCTGGGACATAATTGGGGTAGCCATATTTGCCAGGTTTCCTGAGACAGTCCTAATTTATGTTTGTTGTTCCAACGTAATCATTAACAGTGTTCCCTTTCATTCTTAAAATTGTTCCCATTAAGATGACAAAGTATGGTTCCATTAAGTATAATACAGTAGAAACTGATGTTAAAGTTTTTTAAAAATCACTGATTAAAACTTTAAGGCCCACAATTATTATATAAAGTGGATTTTGTTTATTAGGAAAAAAACTGTTACCTCACATCGTTATTACTTTTCACACAAAAGATGATGGTCACTCAGTCCATGGGTATAGAGTTAAACCACTAATCTTGAGGTATTGTTATGATCATCAGTCTACATTTACTTTCTTCTTTCAAAAACAGGAAGTGTTTTGGACTTACCGAGGTAGTTAGGCTCATTGTATTTTTTAAAAGCAGCCCCAGACAAACCCAGAGAGGCAGTCTCTTTGTTACCTCTTGGATTAAGAACTCTCTAGAAGAGACCTCTTGCTTCTTTCCTGGGTTTCCTAAACGAGAAGGACTACCTAGAATGGGTTTACACCTATGATTAGAAAAAGGAGAGGCAGGTAGGAGAACCTTCCTTGCCTCCCCAGCATTATCCCACATCCAGTGTGTGACTGGTGGAGGTCAAGGGCAACAAAATTATATCCGGGGTTAGGATTAATAGAGCTCTCCGAGACCTCCTTATGTAAATATCCTATTGAAAGCTTACAAAGTTTGAGCTGGCCTGGACCTACAAGACTGATTTCTTTATCAGTTTGTAAAGTGGAATGAGTTCCAAGTCTGGTCTCGCAGTTCCGAGGCTGTCTGGGTGGTGCTAAGAAGCATGCGTCTTCACGTCTGCGAGGCTGGGGGGGTGCCTGTGTGCGCATGCGCTCATTCCTTCTTGCTTTAGCGGTGCCCTTGGCCCAGGGTTGTTTATTGGCCTGTTTTTCTCCTCAGTTTCACAATAAGGTGACCTGCTTCATGCTGCATCACATTGAGGAACCCTGCTCCCTGGGGGCTCATGCTGCTGTCATTGTCCCGCCCACCTGGATCATTAAGGTGAAGAAACCTCAGGTAACTTCTGGGCCCCTGGTGCTCCTGGGCCAGTGCGGAGAAAAAGGAACTGCTGCTTCTTGCTTTTCTTGCCCTGACTCTTTCTGGGGTTCCGAAAATCTCTGCTCACTCTTCCCTACGGCCCCATGCTCAGCTTCCCCCAGTCCATTCCATTTAGCCCATCGCTGTACCACAGTTGGGCTCTCTCATGGAACCAGCCTCCCTTTCCTGAAGAGATCCAAGTTCCACAGCAGGAATGGTTCCTTCCCGTTCAGGTGCTAATGGTGTTCTCCTTGGATGTTCTCCTGAGTTCATTAAATGCTAGTGGTGGGTGCAACTAACCCTTACACAACTCTCTTCTCTTCCAGCCTGGGCATCCCCAGGGACTGAATATGAGGGCAAACCATACAGGCTTCATTGTTTGGTTGAGCTTGCCACCACTTCCAACCTGAACGGCAGACTGGGGGTCATGACCTTCCTAAGTACACAAGGCCCGCTCAGAGAGCAACACTCTTTTCTTAAGGCAAAGTAGAATTTATCCTCTTAACACCTAATCTCATTCTGTATTCAGTTCTTGTTGTACATTCTGTCCTAGAGCGTCTCTGCGATATTCCGGGAAATCTTAGCGGTTTCTCAACACGGTCGTAATCTTTGAGAGCAAAATATCTACCTTCGTACCGTACATCTTAGACCACGAGCTCCAAGTTATGGGATGGCGGACTCGTAATGCTATGGTGGGGGCAGGGGGCAGGGGGAGGATGAGAGCTGTTCTGGGGATGCAGCGACCTTAGGATATCCTGCTGAATGTAATATCTTTAAAAGATAAGGCAGTCCTACTTTATATGGTCTTCAGAATCATCATGCAGTTTATTCTCACTGACTCAGTGTTATTTAAAACACTGGCAGATCAAGGACACTGTTTTGCTTTGTGTGTTTTTACATAGCATTCAGCTTCTGTTGATGAGTAACATTTAGTAATATCTTTCCTAGTTACGGTCCACAAAAGCCTTTGGGAAATCTCTTCCAGAGAGGCAGGTGCACTATCTGTACATTAAAAAATGGGGAGCCTAGCTTTTTCATCTTACGTCTTCGAGTTGTTAAATGAGTGGCCCAAGGTGTTAGCAAGTGTAGTACTACGTTTGAAATTCAGGTACTGATTTCTAATTTACTGTTAATTTCAAATCTCTAACCTTTTTACTTCTCTGGTTCCCCAACCCCTAAAATTCAGTACTCTCTCTAAGAGTTTTATATTAAATACTCAATTAAATCAACATGTTTTCATTGAAAACCCTGATGGTATTAAGAAAGCTCCTAGGCATGGTGATGTAATGCGTGATCCACTCTGAAGAATGGTGTGGTTTTCTTAAGGAGAGATCAGGGAGAGCCTCATGAAGTAGGTGAGTTATATTCTACCTCTCTAAAGATGGGTGGGATTTAGATGGATGGAGAAGAGAGGAAATAGCAGGCAGGAGAATGGCATGAGCAAGGCTGCTGTGTCCAAAATTGTACTCCTGAGGCTGTGAGACTAGTTTATACTGCATGGGTAGTGGTGTATTTCGGTGATGTTGCTTTCAAAGGAACAGGTGTCAGATTATTCACTCTTTTTTTTTTTTTAAGATTTTATTTATTTATTTGACAGATCACAAGTAGGCAGAGGGGCAGGCAGAGGGAGAGGGGGAAGCAGGCTCCCAACTGAGCAGAGAGCCCAATGTGGGGCTCCATCCCAGCACCCTGAGATCACAACCCAAGCCGAAGGGGTTAAGAGGCTTAACCCACTGAGCCACCCAGGCGCCCCAGGTTGTTCACTCTTAGTTTTAAGACCAATCAGTGAGTTTTGGAGCTATGCTTCTAATCCATCTATCCTAAAGTTGTCCATCAGCCTTTCACCATTTTATCCATTGAAGATTGTTACCTAAATCTATTATATTAGGGGGTTACCAAGAGGTGGTTTTTCCAGTTTTTATTCTTCTTTATTCTCCTGCTGGTAATAAAGAACTAAAAAATAAAGCTAATACATGACAGATGCTTGAGTATTTACCTTTATTTGTAAATTTTCAGAATAATAAGTTGGCACCTTAGCAACATTATTGGTTGGCTAAGGGTGGTGGTGGTGGTGGTTTTCAGAGAGTATCATTATGAATTATCAACTTACCTCATGTGATATATATGATATTTCAATCCATCAGCATAATTTTTTTAATATTCATATTGTTTTATCTTTGACCAGTTAGACCGCCTTCCAGATGGCTCTTGTCTCCATTTTTCATGAGCCATGCGGGTTTTGATGCCTTCCTTGGTTTCAGGAATCATGCCATGTCCCAGGATCAACTTATGCATTTCCTGCCCATACCTGGAAGCAGACATTTCTCTGAGGAGTCTTGGTTACTTCTAACAGTGGATGGTATTACAGTTCACAGTCTGGATGCTAAAGTCCAGATTGTTCTCATCACACATTTTCTTATTGTCCTTCTGTGATTCAGAAAAGTATAATAATAAGAGTAAGGAAAACTAACATGTATTGAATGCTCACTAACACAGTGAGCATTCACAACCAGAAAGCAAAAGGAGGATGAGGATCCTGCAGAACAGGGAGAGACCTATCATAGCACAGAGTTTCATCATGAAAAATAGAAAGAAAAATAGGGCAGTCATCAATGTTGAATTCTGTAGGCATTAAAAATTAACAAGGATTGAGAAGGGTCAATCAATTAACTAAATTCCATTTGAAAAGCCAGTGTATGGTGAGCATGGGGGACAATACCGTGGTTGAGAGTTCTAGCTTGGGCCAGACTGCCTAGATTCATAAACTTGCTCTGCTGTTTAATGACTTGTATAATCTCAAGAATTTAAACTCTTCAACTTCTCATCTGCAAAGTGTAAATAATAATTAGTACCCAATTACTGGGTTTTCATGAGGACTAATGAGCTAAAAAATAAAAATAAAGTACATGAAACAGCACCTAGCTCATTGTAAAACTCAAATGTTAGCTCTTATTATTTTCCTTGTTGAGTACAGGGTATCAAATGAAGTTCTACATCAACAAATGAAAATAACAGAAGTTATTGTTCCCTGGGCCATTTGTATTACACTGAGAGAAGAAAGGAAGAGAGGGATTCTTATAGGGAAAGAGGCAGAGTGGGGACCATAGCCTAGTATCTGGTGTGCTCTCAAGTGCACCTTGAGATGCCACTGTAGCTGGATGTCACACGGCAGTGGGATTGTGTGTTCACTAGCGTGGTCCTTATCCCACGGTGGAGAGTTAATTCAGTCACTGAACTGAGGAACTGAAGAAGACATGGTGAGCATTCGCAACCGAAAAGGGAAAGGAGGAAGAGAATCCTGCAGAACAGGGAGAGACCTATCGTAGCACAGAGTGTCATCATGAAAAATGGAAAGAAAAATAGGGCAGTCATCACTGTTAAATTCTGTAGGCATTAAAAATTAACAAGGATTGAGAAGGGTCTTTGCGTTTGGCTCTAGATCATTGATGACCGTCAGAACTCTAGTTTGTAGAGTGTGAGTGGCAAGCTGTTAGTGACGGTGTGGAAGCAGTGAGATTAAAGAATTCACTGGAGACATTGAGAAATGCTAAAAAAACGAATTTGAAAATTAGATGGAGAACAGCAGAACAGTAGCAAAATGTTTTTCCTACTTGTAGAATTTATTTATTTTTTTTTTCTGTGTATTTCTGAATGTGAGGACATGGCTTAAAAACAAGAAGATATTGTTAACTGAGTGAAGTAGACATTTAACTCCATTCACAGAGGCCATTATATGCAGCGGGAGGTCCACAGATGAAACAGATGTTCGTCTGATGTCCACAAAGAGTATCCTCCCTAGGCGAGAAAATTGATACAACTAAATCTCTGGGCAGGGAGTTTTGGATTCTGGAAAAGGAATTCAGCCACATGTAAATCCGTAATGAAAAAGAGTGGTCTTCAGGTTTCTGGAAGGTTTGCCTTGGTCGTCAGCGTGCATCTTTTAGGACAGATATACACAGTGTGGTGAGAGGAAGCCCCAGAGAGGGGGTGAACCAGCCTTGGTCTGTGAGAGGCCAACACGGCTAAGGCATTGAGTGGTGAGTGTGACCCGAGATGTAGCAATGGGGTAGAAACATGAGGAACTGTGTGACTTTGATTGTGGAGATCACTGCAGGCTAAACAGAAAACGCTGTGTATGCTTGGTCTTGAAGGATGTGAGGGGCCTCACTGGGAAGACAGATGAAGAAGGACAGCCCAAGCTTACAGAACATTCTGGGAACTGCTGCTAAGGTGCATCGCCAAATATGGTCAGCTTTATTTGTGACGCTTGTGTCTAAAAAATGACTCTAGAGAGAAAGAAACCTACTTGAGAGCATAATGGTCGGAGAAGCAGATTGTAAAGAGGTGGAATTAAGTCATGTATTTTCTGTATCAGTTAAAAGATGGCTGGTTCTTAGTAGATCATGGTTTTGGGACCAGCTGTGTGAAGCTTGCATAGTAAGGAGAACGAGGGCGGGTCTGGATGATTTGTTGGGTTTCATCACCAAATTATTTGGGAGAGACCTAGAACATAAAAGATGATGGAATTTAGATGATAGTCCAGAATTAAAAGGACCAAATTTTAAGAATCAAGCACAAATCTGTTCATGCATTTTTTTTTAAGATTTTATTTATTTATTTGACAGACAGAGATCACAAGTAGGCAGAGAGGCAGGCAGAGGCGGGGGGCGGGGAGCAGGATTCCCGCTGAGCAGAGAGCCAGATGCGGGACTTGATCCCAGGACCCTGGGATCATGACCTGAGCCAAAGGCAGAGACTTTAACCCACTGAGCCACCCAGGCGCCCCCTGTTCATGCATTTAAAGGCAAAGTTATATTTAATATTACAGATGTCACTGTTTCTGCTCTGGACTGAAAATGTTAGAGGATAATATTGTGACTGTATGAACAAGTTGAAGATGTTGAAATACTAGTGTGAGCGTTTGGAGCTGATGGAGAAAGACTCATGATATGTGAATGTTTGTGGGGTCAAGTTATAGGAGACTAGAGGTGTGTGTTTTTAATAAATTACATCATTCTGCACATAATACTTTAAAACTTGCCTTTCCTACTTTAAAAAAAATACCGGGGAAAAGTCTGCATTAATACATCTAGATTTAACCCCCTTTAAAACTGCTATATATGTTCCATACTATAAATAGATTACAATTTATACAATTTGTTTAGCCAACTCCCTACTGGTGGAGATTTATATAGTATCTCATGGTTGACTTATAAAAAATGCTGCCATCAGCTCCTTCCTAGCCCATATGGGCTCTCTCCGTGTTAGTCCTTATTCTTTATGATTAGATAATATGAAAATGCTTGGACCCACGACATGTAATAGCTAGGATCAACCATATCTCTCAAAAATTGCTCTAGCCATTTCCTTTGGTCAGTTCAAAAGGTTAGGCAATCCTTGCTGTGATTTAACCAAATATGCCTGAGAAATGGCAGAGACCCTGTCCTTACCTTTTGGAAGTAGTTGATTTCTCTGCTCGCCTATCCTCAGGACAACTTTTGTCCCGGCGGTGCAGCCACAGCAGGCAGCACAAGAACACTCACTAGTAAGACGAAGTCCATGCCTCTTCTACCACCCATCAGAGTTTTTTCCAGTATGCAATGGGGGAAGGCTTCATTTGGGATGACGAAGTGTGAGATATCTTCTCTTTAGAGCTGTTGTTATAACCAGTCCTTTGTGATCCCATAACCTGGCAAAAGCCCTAAAGGATATTAGGAAGTAGTTTAGTTTTATTCCCAGTTGAGTGATTTACCCAATGAGCATTTTTTTTTTTTTTTAAATAGCCCAGGAAAGGATCCTGACTACGATAGAGACTTTGTTTATCGGATTATTTCTGTAAAGTAGTACGGTCCCAATACCAGGTCCAAAAAGCCCAAAAGGCCTTTATCTATTCTTAGGACTTGAACACAACAGTGGGCACAGAATGTATGGGGGACAAATGCTGTTAGAATCTGAAACATACAAAAATCCATACGAGGGTACAACGTTGTACTGTTGGGCTCGTGTTCAACTTGCCAAGCAAACCTTCTAGAGGACAGGGTTAGCCACCCTTGATAACGGGGATATTTCTGTTGTAGAACACAGCACACGTATTACGAATGGTTTCTTGAATGATACCACAGCACGTCTACAAAACGGCTTCTTGGAATAATTTTTATGTTCTTGAAAAGCAGGCTGTTTTAACTCTCACAACAAGACTGACCCAGGCAGGGTGAGCAATATCTTAGATGAGCCAGACCGGCTGACTCGTCTTGTCATGGCTGAAACACAAGCCAGCTCGGCTTCCCCGTCCATCTGTTCCCCACTGGATGGCGATGCCTTTTAGAAGAAGTTCAGTGTTGAGATTGAGATACATATTTACATGTGAACAGAAGGAAGCCCTGGGAATTTGGAGGTCTTCTGTGAAATCCCATACTGCTTATCTTTTGCTATCTGTCCATAGGGATGTAAGCTTACTCCGAGCTCACACAGAAGCTTCCAGGGACTGTAAGTCAACCTCTGTGCTTCTTCTGGGCCCCCTCCTTGTTCTGTGAGATGAGGAGGACCTCACGTGCACTTGGCTCCATGAGGCTCGGAAGCCTTGTATTTGCTCTGTGTGGAAAAGGCCCTCGTGTATGTCTGTTCCCTGTTAGAGTTGAGGTCCTTGCCTGCTCTGTTTTCAGACCTCAAGCCTTCTCTGGATGTGTTTTTCTAACTCTGTTTCCCAAACATCCTTGATCAGCAGAGTCGCCTGAAGAGCTGTGATTTCTGGGATCAGGCAAGGTTCGGGAATGATCTTAGCCTGATCCATTAGACTTCTCTCTCAGAGCGTAGTTACTGAGTGCTGCCAGGAACCGGGGCCTGTCGTGCATTCCTGAAAGCACTTGGCTCCCTGCGTTGCTCTTGGCCATAAATGAACTAAAGCAACAGGGAAGTTAGGAGACGAGCATTCAGTTCCGAAAGATCCTTTCCGAAACCAGGAAGGACTCAGTAAGTGTTGCGAGTTACAATACTGACTCATTTCAACAATGACTTGAGCACACACTGTGGGCGGACATCAGTGCTCGGTGCTGGGGATATACACCCGCGAACGAGGCAACTAACATTTACGGAAGCGCTTATCACGGGCCGAGACCAAGCTAACTGCTTCACATACCTTTTCTCCTTTTAACTTCACAACTGCCCTGTGAGGTAGGTATTGTCACCTTCATTTTTAAGTTAAGAAACTGTTATTTCAAAAGCTTGCCTGACTTGGCCAGGGTCACAGATCTTGTAACTGGAAGACCCAGAATTAGCACCTGGTGTGTCCAGTTCCACGGCTCTGGCTCCTTATCCCATTGAAATGATGCTTCAGTGCCTTATGTATGTCTCCCCACTTTTCCCTTTGACTTCAGAGGTTCTCAGCTCTGGCTACCCACTGGAATTGCCTGCGGAGCTTTTAAAAAGCATCTTTGCCTAGGCTTCATGCCAAACAAAGAATATTTGGGGGTCCACAGATCCGCATTGTTGAAAGAACTCTGGGTGAGGCCAACATGCTGTGATGAGTTGAAAACCACTCAATATCATTAATCGCCATCCTAAGAGTTTCCAACATTCTTCTTGGGACACTTGGCTGATTAAGTGTTTACGGTGTCCAGGTAGTTTTTCTTCCCTTTTAAACAAAGTAGTTAACATGTGGGAAATACTCTAATAATGCAAAAGTTTCCCTGAAGTGGAACATGGTAACAGATCCATTTAAAGAGGAATTCAGAAACGTGGAGAACTTTTTGTAGGAGAGCTGTGATCTACAGTGAATGGTAAGAATAACCTGGGGTCTAGAACACCCATGAGCTCCTGAGCTTCTGGGTCTCTCTCTTCTGGTGAGGCTTGGAACCTGAAAACTCTCTTAATTGGATGGAAGAAGAAAGCTTTGGGACAAATGATGGTTCAAGAAAGTTTCCTTCATCCTTGATGAGTACCGGCTACAGAGCAATGTATGTTTTTATGGTCCAAATGAAAGTAAACTCAGAAGTCAAATAGTTTCAATCTTGCTAATTTGAATGTGTTAATATATGTACTCGAGACTAAGGTATATTTTGAATGCGGTAAGAAGAAAATACCCAGGAACCTAAAAGAACAGATATCTAAATTTCTTGAAGCTATTTGAAAATCTTTATCTGCTCAAGCAATGCATGTGTCTATGCTTATATAAGCTTTTAAGTTAAGCCTTCTGTGTTTCAGGCTTTCAACACTTTGTTAAACATCTATGATGTGATAGTAACATCTTGCCTTTGTGAAGATGGCAATCTAACTAATTATTGACTCTCTACTAATTAAGCCAGTGAGTTGTGACTGTCCCCTAAGAGAGGTTCTTCTCAAAGCATCTGTATCACAATCTCAGAGTAAATGGTCAGTTGAAGTAATCACAAAGTTGTGGTCCATAAAACTCCTGGAAAGAGAAAAACAGGGAAAGTGAATTTGGGGTCCCTGGATTCCACAGGTTGGAGGCATGTCTGTGAGAAGAACAAATCAAGGCTACTGGGGGAGAGAAGGCTTTTCAAACCAATAGGTCTTTAGAGAAAGAGAGAGTGGTGATCGTCACTCTACTAACATAAGTAATTTAAGGTGAGTCTTATCTCTGCATTTTAAAACCTAACCCTCAGCACTGATAGGATAGTTGGATCATCATGTTCCCCAGGGGATCAAGTTACCTTATGACTATAACTAGAAAGGTCATTACCAAAGTAAACAGAAAAAAAAAAAAAAAAAAGAAAGAAAGAAGAAAGGAAAGAAAGAAAAAAAAAAGAAAAGAAAAACATGAAAAATGGCCTCCTTTTTTACATTTCCACATAGGTGATCTCCATTGCAGGAGATGAACTTGAACTTGGTTGGGCGGGAGACGGACCTGGTTGGGCGGGAGACTGGAGCCCCTCAGAGAATTTGGGATTCTTCCATTTTTACTGGGAGGGTTGGCAGGTATAACTTGTGTTGTTATGTGAGTCCATGAGAGCCTCCAGGGTTCTAACTCGCTGCCTCTCCATGTGGTGGGGAGTCGGTCGCTCCCTCTGAAGCACTCGACTGGTTTCTGTCTGTGGCTTACCCATGAACAGTGGCTTGGAAGTGTCAAAGCATGAGAAGCATGCCGTGGACCAGCATGTGCTGCCCTCGTCTCCTCCATGGGTCTGCATGGCAAGCTCAGGCGCTGTCCGCCTCTGCGCTCAGCTGTTGCCTTCTTTCCCTACAGAACTCGCTAAAGGCTTCGAATCGGAAGAAGAAGAGGACCAGCTTTAAAAGGAAAGCCAGTAAAAGAGGGACAGAAGTAAGTGTTTCGGGACTCCGTGCCCGTGAGCAGCTCCCTCCTCCTCACCGTAGCCTCTGTCTGATGTGATCTGGCCCAGTCTTCTTTTCCTCATAAATTTTTGGCCCCCGGTCCCTCCTTTACTACACTCACTCAAACCACACACTGGAATAACTTTCAATTTCTGGAAAACGTGTACATGTATAACTTCCTGCGACTAAAGGGTCAGAGGATTTGCACTCGTCCGTGGAAATAGGGTCCCAAGATGATGATGAAGAAATCCCATTTCTAGAATGCCCAGAGCATACAGAATAGAAGAAAAAAACGTTCTTGTTTTTGAGAACAAGGGCTTGTTCTCAAAGGCGAATTATAGCTCGAGAGCCTTTCTTCTAAACTTTATATGGACTATCTTTTTAATAGTAAGCCCTGTGAAACAAGATGTAGCTTTTTTTGGTGGGGGTGGGGGGGATCAAGGGTTAGTGGTGGTGGAGTACTGGTATTTTCTCCCTTCCATTGCTTTTGGGCTGTGCATCCAAGTCATGGACGAATGTCTCAATAGTGTTGCTTTCTTCCTTTAGCAGGAAAACAAAGGTCGTCCTTTTGTGATAAAACCTATCTCTTCTCCTCTCATGAAACCATTGCTTGTGTTTGTGAACCCCAAGAGCGGAGGCAACCAGGTGAGTCATTTTTCATGAGTTTAACTTGGAAGCCTCAGTGCTTTCTTGCAAACAGTTTCCAACACCAATTCAAATAGCACCACCTAGAGCCCCAAGCATTGGAAGACAACCAGTTTCTCAGGGACAGGGTTAGTGATGCAGGGCACAGCCTTACTGCAGGGTTAGGCAAAACCTGGAGGTCCTATGATTTATCCTTCAGCTTCCAAGTAAGACTCCAAAATGCTGACTCCAGCGGCACTACAAAAATGCTGACGTTTTCCTTACAGCTTTTCAAAAAAGATCATTCCAAAATCTCCCGGTTAATATGTTTCAGAGTTTCTTAACTCTTTGTTAGGAAGCTTTTTATGGACTTCTCTTCATGGCTTTCCCTTGTAAGTTAGACCTGACTACTTTCGTCCCTATCCTCAGAGCAAAGCGAGAACAATGATTCACCATTCCCAGTGATCATTCACAACAAACGCCACCAACGCTATCAAAAATATCACCTCCTAAAGGTTTCATTTGGTCCGTGCCCAAATCTTGTGGCATAATTAATCACGACCTCATTTGAGGAGAAAGTAATAGCCTGAGAACACTTACGTGTAATGACATACCTGAAGTGACACAGCTCTTTAAAGGACAGAATTTGTTCCAGAATCTAGGTCTTTGTCTCCTCATACACTTCTCTTCCTACTCTGAGGCTTCTTATCGGTACTCTTCTTTGGCTTTGATTCTTCTCTATCTTCCTGTGAGAATAAATATAAAATATTTTCTCTGTCCATTAAGTGCACATTTTTCATTTTGAGGTGAGATTCCTTGAAGTTTCACACTTTACAATTACCGATTTGAAACTGTCTCGTTAACTCCACGTAAGGAGGGGAGTCCTATAATTAGGATTGATGTTCTTCCTACGAAGGATGCCGGGCATTTTCCCAGAAGGATTAATTACAATAAAGCTTCTCTTCAGAGGGCTTGTGATTTAAGGAAAATACTTTTTCTCCATTTCTTTCTTTGCTTAAAAATTCTTGATAATGTTCTGTGTTAAAAATCTTTAACATTGAAGAAAACAGGGAAAAGAAATGTGCCGTAAGTGAAAAATCTACTTTCAGCGTCCTGCTTGTTTTAAGTTGGTGAGTGATGATCTTCATATTGTGATGATGGCAATCCTGAGACTGTCACTGGAGGGGCTTTTCGGAAGTGGGGTTCAGTGTGCCCTGAACCAGAGTCATTCCCTAGGTCTGGTCTCCCTAGAGCCTCATGAGGGGTGGAGGTATATTTGGAGACCATGGAATCAGCAAAGCTAATGTAATGGACTCCATTGACTTTGACCACTTGAGTATCACATGCTAATTCCCAATATATTTTACCATGAGAGTCATTCTAGAAGATGCGCTCATTAAATCATAAGCCTTTTTCCTCAGGCACTTAGAAACTTGTAGGTTTCAGGAGCAGACAGGCCATTAAGATAGAGCCCATTTTTGTTGGGATCTCTAAATAAGTTAGTAATGCCAGAGCTGATCCCACACTGTTTCCTATTTCACTAACTAGAAAACAAGAAAGCTTAAGTAAACTTTCTAAGGGCATCTTGTTAATGACACTAAAGGGGCAAATGGGAAAAATAATTCAAACAACGTTAACTATATGTGAGTTCTGAATTGAGTGGATCAAACTGAGATTGTTCTGGAATTTCAGAGCAGTGACTTGGGAGGGGTAAAAAAATGTCATAGATATGTCTGAATTGACAATGGACCTACTTACTTATACAGAAAGAGAAAGCTGGGGGAGCAGTGCCCCCTTTCCTTCTCACTCCATGGCAAACTCCTGTTCATCCTTTAAGGCTTGGAACCATTTCCCAAAATGAGTCACCCTGTCCACTGTGCTCCCATAGTCCTTGGCACAAACCTGTGTTTTGTGAATTGCAGTCTAAGTGCTCTGTGGGTGTTCTGCTAAGACAGAGCCTCCCTATCGCCTGGGGCTGCACCTTCCAACCTGTGATTTCTAGTGCGTGGGCTCTAGAAGTGAACAAATAATCATGTAACAAGCAATGCGGGTTTTACAGCGAGTTATCTGGACAGCGGCTTTGTTACTGATGAGAGTTCAGGAAAGGGAAGCATTATACTGGAAAAGAAGTTGAGATGTGTTTGAGATACTGGAAGTGACCGTGAGGTATTCAAATAAAAATGCCTAGGTATTAGAGACAAAAGAATTAAGTGATTTGCTCTCATTTTATGCATTTTGGCTTATGAGACTACTTCTAGAATATCTGGGATTCTCAGAAGTATGGCTAACCACATCAAAATGAATATTGTATAACTTTCTATTTCTTTGTAAAATAGAGTTTTTACTAAGCCTAGCAAAGAGCATTGCTTCTGAGCACAGTGCGAAATGCTGAGAAAGTTTTAAATATATCCAGATACCTTTGTACAATGGCAATTATTCAAAGTGATCTCCATCTTCAGTCTTAGGAAGGGACCGCGTGATTCCCAGTTGTAGTGAGTAGGGAAGGGTCGTGGTCATAGATGATCTAATTCCTCTATTAGGGCCCACCTTTTCCTGTGCTGTGGCTGTCCTGTGCCCTTATCATTGCAGATGAGGGGAGATTCTGGGTGATGGGGAGTCAGAGGGTGAACTGTGAAAGTTTCTCACTCTTTGGCTCCCTGAATCTTGTTTCCTCCATAATTTTGGCCTCCCCCGCCCCCAAACCTTTGTTGTGATAAAGGATCAAAGGGTGATTCAGGACAGCCCTAAAAACAGGGCAAGTGAGCCCCAGGAAGGTGGCCCTGAGATTCTGCTTTTCTAGAAAAACCACACTGATTAGCGAGGGCTGACTAGAAGCACTTCCCTGCTGTTGTTGTTCAAACCTGTTTTTTGCCTTTTAATGCCTGATTTATTTTGCTTATCTCCTTGTAGATAGAAAGCACTCCCTCTTTAAAGCCGAGGCTTGGGGTACCTGGGTGGCTCAGTGGGTTAAGCCTCTGCTTTTGGCTCAGGTCATGATCAAGGCCCACATCGGGCTTTCTGCTCAGCAAGGAGCCTGCTTCCTGCTGTCTCTGCCTGCCTCTCTGCCTACTTGTGATCTCTCTCTCTGTCAAATAAATAAATAAAATCTTTTTAAAAAATTTTAAAAATAAATAAAGCCGAGGCTTCAAACTTTTATTTAAACTTGCTTGGGCTTCTCTTAAGTAACTAACTAGACTCTGTCGCCATCTTCTGGCAAGAAAAATACCTACAGCTTTTCAGAAAGGCAGTATTTTGTGTGCGCGCACAAATTTTCCTACACATTGCAGGAATACATTGAGACGAACACATTTGGGACTGCCTCAGTGTCCTTTTTAAACAATAATTTGTTTTAAACAGTTATTTCACAGTAATTCTCTCTGTTTTTCTGTCACTTAAGGTGGAGGGGATAGTGGGAGTTCTGAAAGTTTTAGAGGTTGGCGGCGCTGGTGCTGGGGGAACAGGAACTGGAACCAGGGACTACAAGGTCAACTTTGAATTTCTTCTCCTGTGGAAAAGATGTAATACCTGGGAGATAAAGTTTATACCCACGCAGTCCCCCCCCTCTGTGTTTGAAAACCTGAGGACTCGAAAAATAGCCCCCTTCCCTTAGGTAACTTAACTTTCGCTCTAACTTCAGAACTTAGCGTTTCTCATGATGTCCCTGACTCATTAGTATCTTTCTCCCTGAGTCTTATGTCGACACTCCTGACATCTTTCGATGTTTCCTGCTTTCCCACGATCTCTCCTGGAGGCTCCCGCTCAGGACTTCTTTTCCAGGGACTTAGGTTATATGTTCCGGGTTAAGCAGGTGTTCTGCCCCCTAGAGTGATTCTGCCTTGTCAGTCCTGACACCTGAGGGGTCCGGACCCTGGCTTCTCACACCATTCAGCGTGAAGTCCCCAGGAGGAGGGGCGGCATGAGTTGCAATCGACTTCCAGGGGCCTTATCAGTAGGTGACAAGAGGAAGGGAGTATCCATTTGTGGGCGCACTGAGTGCTCATGCTGAGTCCAGCCCCATCACGTGGCTGGACCTATGTACTGTCACCCCAGGGCCACCCCTCCTCGGTCAGGGGCAAGTCACCCAAGGTGGGAGAGGGAGACAAAAATCAGTAACTTCAAATGTTTGAGCCCCCAGACCTTTTTAAAAAAAAAAAGATTTTATTTATTTATTTGACAGAGACATCACAAGTAGGCAGTGGGAGAGAGAGAGGGGGAAGCAGGCTCCCTGCTGAGCAGAGAGCCCAATGTGGGGCTCGATCCCAGGACCCTGGGATCATGACCCGAGCCGAAGGCAGAGGCTTAACCCACTGAGCCACCCAGGCATCCCAAGACTTTCTAAATTCTTGAGCAACCAACCTCAGTGATATTCTGTGATGTACAACCTGGGGATAAATCAATAATCATGATGTCTGTATATAATTTTAGGCTCCTAATGCTTAGAACAGGCTAGGAAGAGGGCAGAAAGGTAGTCAGCAGACAGTTACACATGTCAAAGTCCATGCCCAAGATCTTGTCAAGCAAGCCAGCCTCAGCAGATGAAAATAAATCAACAAGACAATAAATCTTTTCCCCAGTTATAATACTGGTGGAAGTGTAGGGGCAGCTGTCTTACTCCACTCAGGCTGCTCTAACCGAATACTGGATACTAGATGGTTTAATAACAGGAATTTATTCCTTACAGTTCTGGGGGCTGGGAAGCCCACCATCAAGGCACCAGCACATATGGGAGCTGCTAAGGTTCCCCTTCCTGGTTCCCGGAACGCCATCCTCTCCCTGTGTCCTCTTGCTGTGTCTTCACATGCCAGAAGCGATGAGGGAGCTCTTTGGCGTCCCTTTTATAAGGGCACGAATCCCATTCATGAGGGCTCCACTTCCCCCCAGGGCCCCATCTCCTTTGATAGGACGAGAGCCCGCCTGACTGTCTAGCTCCTTAGTTTCTAGCCGGCCTGATACATGACAATGTCAGTCTGCTCCCCTGATTACAACATTCCAATGACTCTCATTCCCTAGAAAACAGAGCCCAAGCTCCTTAGCCATTTAACTGACAACTCACCCAGTTTTGTCTCCCACCAACTCCTCCAGTTTCATGTCCCACCCCTCCTGCCTCACAGTGCAGAAGGTCACGTCCCCACAGCATGTTGTGTGCCTCCCTCTTTCTCTTCTCCACGTGTAAAGACATGGTTAACCTTACTTGTCTTTCAGGAAATAGTTCAGATATCATATACAGGATGCCTTCATCTAATCCCCAGATGGGCACTCAGAGTACCTGCTCTGGCTTCCTACTTCTCGGTAGGCATCTCCGCCGAACCGTGAACCATCTACAGCTGACACGTTTATTTTGGATTTGCCTCTTTCTGAGCTTCCTGAGTGTAAACGTGGGCACACAGTAGGAGCCTAACGTGTTTTTTAAGAAAATTAAGTATTCCTTTGGGGTTATTTGAAGCCAGTTTGAAATAATTCTTTCTTTATCTCTTCCTCCCACTAGCTTTTATCTTCCTTGGGACTTTCCTAGCAGCTTTTGCCGCGATCTGGCGAATCCCTCTGGGACATAAACCAAGGCTTGCTCAGTAACCCACCAGCATGTTTCAGGCTATGGAAGAGTTACAAGGCTTCGATGGAGACTGATAAGCCAGTGAAGCAAATTCATTCTTAATTGACTCTCCATACCCCCAAGTCATTATCGTATTTTCTTTAATGAATAATGCTAGAACTTTCTCTGTTTAATAATAGAGAGTAGAATCTTCCCTGTTTTGTCCATCCCTCTCTCTTCCCACCCTGTACTGTGTCTCGCACTTAGTAGGTGAATCGATGAATCCTGTTTACTTGCCTCTAGAACAATCTGCCTGTCTTCTGGGAAGTTGTTTTCTCTTCTCCCAGCCTGTTCCCCAACCCCTGGAGCCAGAAAGGACCTAGAAGTCCTAGCCTCAGCAATCAGACAACACAAAGAAATTAAAGGCATCCAAATCAGCAAAGAAAAAGTCAAACTATCAATCTTTGCAGATGATATGATACTATATGTGGAAAACCCAAAAGACTCTACTCCAAAACTGCTAGAACTCATACAGGAATTCAGTAAAGTGTCAGGATATAAAATCAATGCACAGAAATCAGTTGCATTTCTTCACACTAACAACAGGCAGAAGAAAGAGAAATTAAGGAGCCAATCCCATTTATAATTGCACCTGAAACCGTAAGGACCTATTCATCACTCCACAGGAATACCCAATCTCACAGTATCTTAACAAGCTCTATAGTCAGTGAGGTGACGTAGCTACAGCCGTGTGTGTTAGAATTAACACGCAACCTGTTTTTTTTCCATTTAGAGAAAAGCAAAATACTGTTGCAGAAAAGCTGCAGCTTTTTTCAAGAATAAAATAAAATAAACAAACTAAAAACGCCAAGTAACCTAAACTTGAGGTTGACAAAGGCCCAAGGCTGAAAGTTCTAGCCCATGGACCCTGCGCCTCCTTTCCTGCTCACTAGCCAGAGGACCTTAACAGGAAAGCAATTGAAGACGCTGTGCTCAGCGTTCTTCAAACATTGTGTCTTTCTTTCCTCTTAAATCCTGATGAACTCTAAGCCAATTTCATGTCCTTTATCTTTGTAATCCCAGGATTTAACATCTTGGTTTGCTCTTTGCATGCCCATAGAGGGAGTGAAAGCAAAGACGAAAGGCAGGTGTATGAAAGGGGGCACAGAGGGAGAAAGAGCAGGAAGAGACAAACCAGCACAATAGCCTCCAAAAAAAAAAAAAAAAAAAAAAAATGGAGCTTTTGGATTTGGCATGTGGCCAGTGACAGATATGAGCATGTTTGGGACTCGTTAGTGAACGGCACTTCTCTAAGTGTCTGAGTCCGCTTAATCCTGTCAATGAGAAAGAAATGACTCTTTTCCTGGTGAGTTAGCATTTCTCAAGCCCTTCGATTCTATGAAATGAATTACCTAGGCCCTAAAGTAGCTCATCCTAGAGGTCACAGCAGAGCTGAGAGAACAGTCTTTCTTCAATGAGTCAGACCTTTATTTTTCTCCAGGCGACATGGTGGATTTAAAACAATGCAGTACTTTTCAGATCCTTGCCAGTTTTGCTATTGCTTATGTTTTAGAAAGACTACTTTTAAAAGAAATAATTCTATCACACTCACACCTGAATGTGACCTCTGATTGGGTTGTCGTGTGTGGTTTTGCACGTTATCCCTGCACAGCTGTTACCCCTGCACAGCTCTGAGGGTGTTCTTAAAACAGGCTGAGGTGTCAGTGGGGCCTCCCAGAAATGGCACGGTGTAAAACTTGCCAGCCTGAATTCCCCTTCCTCCAAAGGATAAATGTAGACCATTAGGTGTCACCATGAATACACACTTAAGCAAAACCAAAATGGTGTGGTCATTCCAACCTTTTAGAGAAATTTTAGTTTGAGAAAAACCACCTCTCAATGACTTTTACTTCATTTTTTTTTTAGAAGGAAGGTTTTATTTTTTTTTTAAGATTTTATTTATTTATTTGACAGAGATCACAAGTAGGCAGAGAGGCAGGCAGAGAGAGAGAGAGGGGGAAGCAGGCTCCCCGCCAAGCGGAGAACCCAATACAGGGCTCGATCCCAGGACCCTGGGATCATGACCTGAGCCAAAGGCAGAGGCTTTAACCCACTGAGCCACCCAGGCATCCCCTTTTACTTTATTTTTGAAAGGTGTTCATTACATAGTATTGCAGGTGTCGTAGAAGCTGGAATTGAGACGAGCCCAAAAGTGGACTCGTGGCCAGAAGTGGAAAGGAGTAATTAACATTAACCATTCCTATTCCTCTAGGGATTTAAAACTGAAAAACTGATCTTCGAGCAAATCAGTGGGAATTTTTTTTTTTTTTTTTTGAACTGGTCACTAAAATGTCTCTGGTCTACCAGTTAGGCATCAAAGATTACCCGAGATAATCCCCAACTGACTTGATAGCAAGGCTCGGTATAGGAAGAGAGAGAACTACCCAGCATTTAGTTAGTATTATGTGTCCAGCTCTGTGTCTGAATTTTATAGGAAGCAAAATATGTCACGTGGTGAAATTGAAGGATTAGTTGTAATAATTAAGGATAGAATGTTATTCATAAATTTATAGCAAGCACATGATAAAGCAGAACTTCTAAATTATAGGTTTGGTTGAAATGTGGAACAAAAGACCTGCGTTGGCCCCAGTAACAACCGGCCTAACAATGTGGTAATCACAAGCTACACTTTAGCCTGCACAACCTCAAGTGTAATTTACTGAATAGATTAACAAGAAGCAACAAAGAAAGGGACTAACCTTTACAAAGGCCTATTTTGTGCCACATGCTGGGTTAGATCCATAACTATTACTGATTCATTTAATTCTCATTATCCCCCTGGAAAGCAGATTTTGCCCTCCTATTTAATATGCTAGATTTCTGCAGGCTTTTAAGTGCTCACAATCACCTCATGAGAACACCCAAGTTATTACTGACTCAAATACCATGCTGTCCCCCAATGACTCTCGGATACAGCATAGTAGGTGTACAGACTTGGGAATATTTTAAGGGAGAGCACGCAGGATAGCTAATAAAGGAACTGTAATTATAAGCGACACGCACTGCCCAGCTGATCAAATGCTATTTGCTGAGGCTGATGATGCCCTAAAATGGGGCACCCTACGCAGTCTTAAAGCTCTTTTGATGCCGCTTAATGAAACGATCCTTCTTCATTTCTTCTCTGCTCAGTTCACTGTTAAGAAATGATCTCCAGAACTGCCTTGTGTTTTCCGTGACGATCACTTCTACAAATGCCAATTATAAATCACTTAAAACATTCCAAAAATGTTCATGTGAGAACTGTTTGACTTAGAGACATGGAAATTGAAACAAAGTCAAAGTAAGTCAAAGTAAGCTGTAACTAGGAAAGTCACATGTGTCTATCCTAAATAATGAGGAGCCTGTAAGACTTTGGCTTCAGGGGGCGCCTGGGTGGCTCAGTGGGTTGAGCCTCTGCCTTCTGCTCGGGTCATGGTCTCAGGGTCCTGGGATCGAGCCCCACATCAGGCTCTCTGCTCAGCAGGGAGCCTGTTTCCTCCTCTCTCTCTGCCTGTCTCTGCCTACTTGTGATCTCTGTCTGTCAAATAAATAAACAAAATCTTAAAAACAAAAAAGAGAAAGACTAACTTCAGTTAAGAGAAGTTATTTCAGTAAAATCGTACTTAGCTCATCCTGTCTATATTCATGTTATGCAAAGATCAAAGTAGTAGTCACAATGAAGTAAAAATTCATGTTAAATGACATGGACTGACTAATTAGTTGCCTACATGGGTTTTGATGTCAAATGATGGGAAAACCAGTAGTTACTATTGAGTAAGCACTTAATTGCATGCCACACACTGTGACCACTGTGCTCCTCAAAACATGACTGCATTTAATCCTTGCGACAAGTCTGTGAAAGAGGTATTCTTATCTCCACATTAAAGAGAAGGAAGTTGGGCTCACTGAAATTGGAGAACTTGGCCAGCGTTAATGCAGTTGGACAAAAGCCCCATCTGGACATTCAACCTGTGTATCAATGGCCAAAGCCCATGATTTTAACTACTACTTCATGCTGTTTATAATTAGGTGATATTTTACTTTTTTTTCATGAATATATAACGTGTTATTTGTTTCAGGGGCACAGGTCTGTGAACCATCAGTCTTACACTATTCATAGCAATCAGGTGATATTTTAGAGAAGAACATTTTTAAAATTTTTTTAAATGAGCAGCAAATATTTGGAAATCTCTTCTTATTGTCTTAAATTTTTTTTTTTTTTTCTGACAGGGAACCAAAGTCCTGCAGATGTTCATGTGGTACCTGAATCCACGGCAGGTGTTTGATCTTTCTCAGGAGGGGCCCAAAGATGCGTAAGTCTGGAAACAGCCCACCATGGTCCGTACCGGTTTGGGCAAGTGAGAAGGGCTTCTGCTGTGAAGTCAGGCTTCCTTATTAGATTACCTTGTGAAATACTTGCTGACCATCCCTCATTGACTTTCTCAACTGTGGTCACCTCCCTTAAGCCTTCGTCTGATGTTTCCCCTCCTACTCTTCTTTGGGCTAAGTCCCTTCCAGACCAGCTACACAGTTATCTCAGGACATCCTTCAAGTGTGCTTGTGTCTCACGGGCAAGCAACTGTCGATAATTTACAAGTGTGCACTGAGGAAGGATCTGTCATTTTTCTACTTACTCATGCTCAGCTTGGGGAAGTACATCAGTGAAACTGTAAGTGGATCTTTGGAGAGTGGCCATATTTATTTATGAATATGTTCGTGTATTTGAATGAGAGGTGATGTGTGTGCGCCTATGTCCACTGGAGACAGATTGATTGATTATGCCTATGGATTCCACACCAGGACAGGAAGACATTTTAATTTCTGCTCGATCCCTTTTTCTGAACTTCTGAACTTCAGAAGTTTCATTCTGTTTTTGTTAGGAGTATTGAAAATCAAGTTTAGACCTAGGTGACATGTATCCTATATCTTCCCTTTGGTGGCGGTAGTGCTGTAGATGGTGGGAAAGAGCAGGACTGTTTCTGCTACTGTCCATTCCCATTTTAAAACCCATGTATTGAAATAGTTTGGATGTCATCAGATAAACATTAGAGCTTAAGGGATACTAATTATTTTTAAATAAATAACAATACCAGAGGCAAAGTAACCAGTTCAGATAATTTCTAGAGAAATAATATTCCTGTATTAAATGGACAAATCATATATTTGAAGCATTCAGGAGAACATTAAATATAAAAATTAATTTCTGCCATCATTCTTTTAATCTATGAACTTTTTCACCACTAGAGTTCGCTATAAACCTTCTGTATTTTTTTTCTGTATTTGGATGGACTAAGGCAAAGCTGCTACCCTGGCTTTAGTCCTTTTGGATGCTTTTCTTAAAATCTTATCACTCCGGCTAGACTTTAGGCAGAGCCTTCATAGGTCATTCCTAAAGAATGTGGCCAGATAGGACATGTTTCCAGAAAGAAAAAAAAAAAACCAAAACTTGATTTTGAAGATGGTGTATTTTAGAACAGTGGCACTGACAGCTTCACTTAAGGAAATGTTTTAGCAGGGTTGCTATAATTGTGTTTTCTCAAGAGCCAACATGAAAAATGATCTAATTTTAAACAAATTTTAAATGAAGAAATACCAGTAAGTCTTCCCTCTTTGGGCTGAAGAGTATAAATTTGGCTTGAGTGTTGGTGAATGAGTGGAGAGGGAGCTAGAATTGTAGGTGTGGCGGTAATGCTGCGGGCGTCCTCCTGCCATCCTGTCTCTCAGAAGAGGTTTACTGGGATTAAGAGTGGAAAGTATAACTTTGAAAAGCGAATCCAGGAAAAGCTGACAAAAAATAAGGAGGAGACACATAATGACTCCTGACTACTGATTAAGGAGGATTTTCTTTGAGAAAGGAGGAAGGGGTATGATGGGAAAAGAAAAGGAAGTCGAAACTAATTAGGAAAATCATATGAGTGAATACATTAGTAGGGATTATGAGAGATAAAACTCTGGGACATGCTGAAATCCCATTCCAGTGTCGGCCATTTAAAAATGATTTTTGCTACCAACCACTGATCCCTTTGTTGGGATCCATGCCCATAATGACATTATTATCCTCCTAATTATGCCTTTTCTCCAGGGGACGTCCCCTCATCCTCTTTTGCCCTGTGTTTTCTTTGCAATGGCCAGTGATGAGCTCTTTTATTTATTTCATGTTCTTTTTCCTCTACAGGCTTGAGTTGTATAGGAAAGTACCAAATCTGCGAATTCTGGCGTGTGGTGGGGATGGAACGGTAGGTCCTCAAAATAGAATCAAGCTCTCTCACTTATTTCCTCTTTCTTTTGCTTCCTTTGTGACAGTTCTCTTTGTTCTTTCCTACCACACCTCTTTCCAGTTCCCTAAGACCCAGGTCTCTGTCATGGGAATCATGGCCCATAAAGTGTTAGAAGGGATGTGGTTATTGTCTCATGGATTCATACTTGGTCTTCCTAAATTGTGTCTTATTCTCTCAGCTATATTGTATCCTTTCCTGTTCTACAAGGTAAGGATGTGGCCAGATCATTACAATGAAGGTTATAGATGACTGAATTCTTCACTTAAAAAAACTACTTATTTCCTTTGGTTCTTAATCATCGGTCACAATCATTAAGGAGAAGTACGTGGACAAAATTACTGCATTTGTTCCCTTTTTTTTTTTTTAAGATTTTATTTATTTATTTGACAGAGATCACAAGTGGGCAAGAGAGGCTGCAGAGAGAGAGAAAGAGAGGGAAGCAGGCTCCCTGCTGAGCAGAGAGCCCGACGTGGGGCTCAATCCCAGGACCCTGGGACCATGACCTGAGCTGAAGGCAGAGGCTTTAACCCACTGAGCCACCCAGGAGCCCCTGCATTTGTTTTTTTATGAGTAGAGATAAAACTTAGAATACTGACATTGGTTTGCCTTAAAGATCATCTCCTTTGTATTCATTTTTTTGAAGAAAAAGTGGAATTGGGCTGAAGTTTAATATTATGGGTACATTTTCCTCTATTTGTCTTACTTGTTTCTCCATTTGCCCTCCACTTGTGCCGGCATATCAGCAAAGGGAAAGAACTGAGAACCACAACGTTTAGACTCTGCTGCCCACTATCTTTTTCTTCTGTATTTGGAGTTTGCTCTCATAGGATCTAGAATTTTATTATGAAATATCTTTGGCTTTTCTCTAATCTCCCTAATTAGAATGTTATAGTCTCAAAGGTAGCAACAAAATCTTTTAACTCTCTATCATAGCACTTAATGCCACATTGGATACACATTATATACCAAAAAATACAACTGGAAAAAAACAGAACAGAGTTTCTACAGGTCCCTTAAGCTACTCTCTGAAGATGAAAACATTTTTTTAGTTGGAAAAATAGTGTTTACTGTTTGTAAAGATTCACAATACACGTTATTAGCTTATAAAAGTCATTATAAAATCTTAACAGCTGAGAAGCCGAACCCAGTTCACTATATATAACCCATTGTCTTCCAAAACTTTTAGACCATGGAACTTTTTCTGCCACAATACCAATTAAAGTTCTATCATTTGTAGGCTGTTGGGAGATACACTAAGGGATAGGCTGGTTTCGAATTTTCCCAACTTTTTTTACTAGAACTATATCCAAAAAAATCCTCTGGGGATATATATGTATTTGGTATATAGTATGTGTGTGTGTGTCTATATATATGTATATATTTGTATGTATATGTAAATATATTAAATATGTATTAGTATATTGCATTTAACATACATACCCACACACAGAGTGTTCTTAGCTCAGCTGTCCCCAGATTCATTGTCTTAAAATACAAACTTATTTAAGTGACCCTTTACTACAGTTCTTTTCCTTATTTTAGAATCTCCTTATCTTTCTGTATGACTTCAGTATTTGCTCCCATCTTTTCTCCTTTAAATCTCAATGACCGCAGCAGAGAAGTTGAGGCTCTGCCTGCCGTCCTGAATTCAGAGTTCTTACCCTTTCTCCGCCCAAGTGACCATGACCTCAAACCCACATCCATTTCCCATTCCTTCTCTACAACTTGGGCCCCACCAATGATTGAGTGCCACCCCTTGCAAATTTCTCCCACCCTGCTGGAGCCTCCTGGCAGGTCGTTCTCACATCTCCTTTCTTCTTCCTTTCCTCTGCTCAGCGGGTATGTGTAGGACACACATTCTAGGTTATGTGGTTTTGAGGCATTCTATGCAACTAGAGAAGTGTTTGAAAACCTGGAGATTTAAAGCCTAAAGGACAAAAGAGAGCCAAGTCTGGATACTTGCGATTAGGGAGTCCAGGCCAGAGTTCCAAAGGAGAATGAAAAGATCGAAGTAGAAAGGACTAGTCTATTCTGTCAAGAAAAAAAAAAACAAAAACAAAATACAGAGGAGTTTCAGGAAAGAGGCCGTGGTTATATCCTGAAGGAGAGATTGGAGAATTATTATCGATTTTGGAACCTAGGAGGTAACTAGTGGTTTTCAAGAAAACCATCTCAATAGCGTGTCTGGGACAAAACCCAGAATGACAAGCAAGTGAGACTTGGTAGATCGTTAATGAATCCTAAAGACCAGACCCAATTACAGTGTTGGATATCTGTGAGTACGTCCTGGTGCCATTAATAACACCTTTTTGACATGAAGACTCCCTCGTTCTCCTACTTAGCCTGTCTTTTCTATCTTCCTTTCTTTAAATATACCATAATTAATAGGTACTCCGCAAGGCTAGATATTACTCTTCTTTTATGTTCTAGGTAGTTTTTCCTCTTAGGGACCATATTGATGTTCCTGGCTTCCGTTTCCATCTCCTTCCACATACCTCACAAATGCACTAGACATTTCTACTCAGGTCCCTTGCAACAGGCATGCCCCAAAGAAAAGTAGCAGATTTACCCAAGGGTCAGTGCCTACTTTTGTACTAATTATTTTCTCAACGGTATTCTCTGTAGTTTAATCACTCAGAATCAAGACTTGGCTTATCTTGTACCTTATATGCAACGAGGTTTTATTTTATTTCTTTACTTGGCTAAAATAGATGTGTTGTGGAAGAGGCCTGGAGTTTATGAAATGTTTTCCTAGATAAGTGATTGATATTTTTAATCTGATTCATTTAGAATATGAAACTTTTAATTTTGAGTAGGAGCAGAGTTTCTGTAAAGGCGAGGCCTCCTGATGGATTTATGAAGAAAGCTTTATGGCTTGAGGCAAGTGAAGAACAATTCCTGAGAGTATCAGGTGTACGTGTGACATAAGGCATCCAGCCTTTACTCGGTGAGCGTATCAATCACCTTGGAAGCTGTCAGAATTCTGTCAGCACAGTGACAGGGACCCAGGGAGATTCAGGAATGGAATTTTTTTTTTTTTTTGACTGATTAAGAGGAGGCTGTATTAACCCTTAACTGCATTAGTTTGTGCACAAATTATTATTTCATGTATAGATGTCTTGTGTTAATTTGGAAACAAGTTCTTGGCTCCGCTGCTGGTTTGTGTCACTCTGCTTCCTTGCACTTTTTAAAAAAAAATTTTTTTAAGATTTTATATATTTATTTGACAGAGAGAGATCACAAGTAGGCAGAGCAGCAGGCAGAGAGAGAGAGGAGGAAGCAAGCTCCCTGCTGAGCAGAGAGCCCGATGTGGGGCTCGATCCCAGGACCCTGAGATCATGACCTGAGCCAAAGGCAGAGGCTTTAACCCACTGAGCCACCCAGGCGTCCCCTCCTTGCACTTTTAGATAACCCATCTCCCAGCTCTGCCCTTGTCAGCAGAAGAGCTGGTTGGGTGCCTATGTTTTGTGACTTCCAACAAGAAACAAGGTTTCTTACCCTCCTTTGAGACCTTAAAGGTCTGCAAAGGGATATGCCAGGGTCCCTAAGGGTCTTCATAGTCGCAGCATTGTAATAGCATAGACCGTTGTTCTTCAAGAGAACAACGATACAAATCGCATTTTCAAGTTTTCTAGAAGTCACTTCAAGTCAGAAGCAGGGGAAATTAATTTTATAATACATTTTTTTGAAGCTCAGATATCCACAAGATTTTCATTTCAACATGCGATCATGGAAAAATCACTAATGAGATAGTTTCTCTTCAATGCGTGCTGTCTTCAGAATGCAGCGTGTATTTTTCCCGGCATCTCCAGTTTGTATCAGACACATTCCAGTGCTCGGCTGCCACGTGTGGTCAGCGGAGGCTGCAGCGGACAGTGCAGGTGTGGCCTCTTTGGAACTGGTTAGCACAGCCCCATGGCGACCACACGGTTGCAGTTATTGGATGCGCTTGTCTCACCTTGGATCTCTAGGCTGGAAGGAAACTCCCCTGACTCAAGAATGATCTCAGACTTTCATGTTTATAAACGAGTTGCTTTTCGGTCGTGCGGCAGTTGTATATTCTTTCCCATCCTTGGCCACATCTCTACCTATCCAGCTCCACATAGCTGTCACTCTGCTTAAATCTTGGAGGGCATGTGGACCAAGACCCCAGAGGCACACATACCCTCCCCTTCCGGTGTGATGTGATCCCTGCCTATCTGGCTCCTGACCTTGGTAACGGGGCTGGATCTGCTGGCCCGCCCTTGACCATGTGGACGTCTTTCCAAAGGCCTGGAATTAAACTATGGGACCATCCACTGTGTGCTTATTTCTTGATCGCTTGTCTTCCCTAGATGAGGATACACCCCAAACATTAGGCTCCTCCGAGCCCTGACGTACTGCAGCCGCAGCAGGGAAGAAAGTGTGTTTCCCTTGAACTGACCGTGGCAAGCCCAGCATTCCGAGCCCCTTTTCCTCCCAAAGCCTCAGCTTGTCTCTCTCTCTCCACCCGCCTCCCCATCTCTCTCCCCTTCTATCTTTTTTTTTTTAAGATTTTATTTATTTATTTGATAGATAGAGATCACAAGTAGGCAGAGAGGCAGGCAGAGAGAGCGAGAGGAGGAAGCAGGCTCCCTGCTGAGCAGAGAGCCCGATGTGGGGCTTGATCCCAGCACCCTGGGATCATGACCTGAGCCGAAGGCAGAGGCTTTAACCCACTGAGCCACCCAGGCACCCCTCTCCCCTTCTATCTTGACTTCTTTAGGGCTGACTTTAAAAAACATTTAACACAGGAGTACTTGTAAGCTATGAAGTACAAACATAAAATATCAAAAGGAAGACTCGTGGTGTACACATCTGAAAGAGCCATTTGAACTTATGTGCTGCCTTGATGGTCTTTCAGTTCAGAAATGGTGGCCTTGTTTCCTTTTGATCTCTCACTATGTCCATCTTCACTTTTTGCCAGCCTAGAAGGCAATGCAACGCGTACCTGGTCTGGTCAAAGAAAGTGCCGATTCACTGTTCTCCCAGCCCCTCAGCCGCCTCTAATGTTAGTACATCGCAGAAGGACCATGGTGCTCAGCATGAGCCGGGCCCACACCGGGTGACGGGTGACGGCTAGGGTACCCCACGCACAGGGAGTGGCTGCACTCCCCAGCTGCGGGCAGCGCTCACCGCAGGCTGCTTTGCTCAGGGACAAAGCCCAGGAGCCCGACCTTCCAAATGGGGCAGCCCTGCCCTTCCTGACACAAAGGCAGGACAGAACATTGCAAACCGGGAAATGATTTCACCCAATCTGGATCGTTTTCTTCAGTTGTGGTGGGAAATATGCCAAGTGCTATGTTTTGCAATTAATTACATCTAGCTGAAGGGGTCCGGGATGACTGGTGGAGACAATTTGGGGAAAGCCTAACAAACAATCCTGGCCATGCACCTGAAGCCCAGATTCCCCGAAAGAGCGGTTCCCGGTAAGGGAGAGGCTATGGGAACAGCCTTGTCCCTGAAGATCTTTTATAGAGTTTTGCTTTTTAAGGACAGATACAGATTATTAAGATCTGTCTCCTGCTATTGTGGTTTTTTTTTTTACATTCTCTCTCTCTCTCTGTAACACTTTTCTGCTTTAGCACAGCTTGGGTTTTCTGTGTTGGATAGTCTCTGGAAAACTTTGTGATTGATGGCAGTCAGAGGTGGCATTGATTTGTGACCCTGAGGTTCAGTTTTAAGTGGAGAGACAGAAAGAGGGCATTTTGCTTCTGGGAAAAGGAAGTAAAAAGGAAGAAAAAAGGAAGAAAAATAAAGCTTAATCGTAGCAGCTGATGTTAATTAAGCATTTCCTGTTGTGAGGCAGATGCTACGTAATGTCTACATGTCATTTAGCTGATAACAGAACCCTAAGAGTCTTGGGAACTTGGAAAGATTGAGTGGCTTACCTAAGCTTGCCCGGCCAATGTGTGATGGGCTCTGTTTCCCCTTTCAGCCCTACCTTCTGTGGCCTTCTGAGGAAGCCGATTTGGGGTCATACATCTCTTGGGTGAGAAAAACTATTAAGGATGGTAAAAAGCAAAGATACAGACCCAGCTCTGCCAAAGAACTATTGTTAGTCTAACACTGATGGACTTGAGAGAATTTCACGACCTATCTTGACTCTGAAAGGCAGGTGACATCTGGTGACTCCAGGGTTATGTGATGATGGAACACTAAACCTCCCTGATTGTTTTCAGGGGAAAAATAGAATATTTGGCCATTGGACAAAGAAGGTAGGATGTATCTATGCAGTTCTTAAATCAGTTGCTAAGAAAGAGGATGATCCTTTCATTCAAATCAGTTACACATTTTCCTTTTCTGCTTAGGCCAGGTGTGAGAGAAAGAGGGAGGGTGAGAAGTCCAAGTGTCCTGAGGGCTCCTGCCTTTCCGAGGAACCATATAGCACAGGATCACATGGATTCTTGGCTACTTTCTTTGAGAAAACAGGAGCCCCTTCAGAAGGTCTGAATGAAGGCTATATCCTGATTCTATATACTGATGAAAGGATTATTAGAAGATACCCGTCAATTTATGGACATTATGGGACACTCATTTCAGTCTCATTTGAAAAGTGTTTTTATTTCATGTGCTGTGGACTAACACCCTGACCTTCCCATCCATCTTGGTATTAGCCTTCTTCCTGCAGTTTGCAATTTTTCTTTGCAGGCTTCTCTTCAGAGGAAGTTATTTTATTGTGTTTTTGCCTTTCCCTTTACTTTGTCTCCCTCCTTTCACTATTCCTTCCTAGTTGTTTGTGTGGTTTCCAACACTCTTGAGACACGAGCAGGTTTCCTGGAGGTGACTCAGGCACCCAACCTGGGGAGATGTCCTATGTTGGAGGTCTATTAGTGAGCCAGTGGGAAGGTGGGCCCACCACTTAAAGGCTTTCTCCTTCCAGCCTCAATGCATCTCCACTGTCTTTGGGTTATGGCCTCAAGCAGGGCTCCTTCACGCCCTTTTCCAGAGGGAGCTTCTTTCATACATGGCGTCCTGCCAGGAGAGGTGACCTCTTACTCCCTATTATCAGACAGAAGCTAAACTCCTGGCTTCATTGGCTTGCCATTTTGTGTTTGGTTTGCTTCTGGTCCCTGAAGATGTATTTTTCCTGTCATTGCGCCTAGAATGCAGTGGGCATTGGAAATGTGACCACATGACATTATCTTTACCAGGAAAAGAGACTGTTTTCACCTGAGCATTTAAAAAAAAAAAAAAAAGTGTAACTTAAATCTACCTGCAAGAAAGTAGACTGACTTGTGAGTACAATTCGTAAGGGGCAACCTGAGTGTTCACCTCTCGGAGAAAGTTCTAAAGAGACTGCCTTCTTCACAGGGGTTGTTGGATTCAATTTCCACTGTGTTCTGTGGCATCTCCGAGAGGCTCTGGGTCTGTGCAGGGCTGTTTGCGCCTGTCGTCCGTGATCCCTGATGCTGGGATTGCTGTTTCCCTGTCTTGTCGTTTCGTAGAGGGGAGCTACCTACTGTGTGCAGTCTGTGCTTTCAGCGGCACAGAGATGGTAGCCGGCAGAGGCATCAGAACTCGTTAGCATCTGACCCACACTTCAACAGCAAGCTTTGTTAATACCGTCTGTAGAAGGACTAGGCACACGTGGGGTCAGAATCTAATGAGTCATCCACAAGAGATTTGCCTGGTTTGAGGGAATGGAGGGACTTCCAGGTTCTTCTTTACTTCTAGAGTTTTAGTCCATCATATTGGGAGACCATGGTGATAATGCCCTTCTAGAAGGCAAACACAATTTTAGGCTTCTTGATGGACAGTCAAGTTTTACATCCTGGGATGAAATATTGGGGTAGAGAAAGGATGGAGTCTCTAGATGTAATCAAGAGACCTGATAAGATTCTGATGCTGACAACTCGTTATGTAGCCTTGAGCAAATTACATGACCTCTTTGCACCTCATTTATTAATAAATCTGCAAATTAACTGAATTTGATTGAGCAATTTCTAAGACTTCTCCAGCACTCCAAAGATTTCAAAAGTACAAAAACCACTGTCTCCAGCACAGTCAGGCCATATCCAGGCCATATTCCAGAACAGAATTTAGGTCTTTATTTAAAGGCTCCCTGCACCAGAGTGGTTAAGAAGTTAGCCGTGGTGTTTGGCGTACCTGATTGTGAATGCCAGTTATATTATATAAATAATAGGATATTAAGGAAGTCATTGAATCTTCCAAATTTTGGCTTCTGTATCTATCAAATGGAGAAGAGAATTATTCCTACCTTACAGAATTGTTTTGAACTTTAATAATATAGTTACAGAACTTCGCTCAGGAATCAGCAATGGTATGTTCCTTTTTTTATTCACTATAAGCTCCCTGAGAGCAGCCATCTACCTTACTTATTTTAGCCCAGCTCATTAGTCTTATTTCATTTGCTTAGTTCTGTGTTTTATATGTAGTAGTGTTCAATAAAGGTACTGTCAAAGTAAAATTTTCAAAAAATTTTTGAATAGGACTCACACAAATATAGAATAAATACATGTCAGATTTAGTTAGCTCTTTAATGAAGGAATCAGCAAGATGATACAGTTGATTTATTGGAGAAGTAGAGGGAAAGGATTATATAGTTATACCAAAATAATTTTTCTAAATTTGAGACATAATTGGTTTATGGCCTTATGGGGGAATAAAACCAAATCTTCAACATAATCTTTTATTGTCAACATTCATATCTCCACAGGACAAACATTCCTGTTAACCTACAGTCATAAAGTTCTTAGCCTGTGAAACACTACTTTAGTATGACATTGTGAGGATATGCAACTTTCTTTTTGCTATTTCCAGGTTTGGAGTAATTATTCTAAGTAGTTATGAGACCAAGCCTGAAGTATTGTTTATCTTAGAAAAAGATTAAATGGGAATATGATTCTAGTATATAAGTATCCATTTTCTAACTAAACTTATAATAAGTACTAGGACCATCCATAATTATGTTTTCATGATGTTTCATTAAAAAGAATATAGGGATATTTAGGAAAATGCTACTAATTTCTACAATGATGTTTTGGAGGGTAACTATTTAATGAGTGCTTATATGGACCACATGGAGGGCTTTATATACATTTGAGTTTAATCTGTAAACAGTCTTGTGAGGTAGGCATTATCTCCACTTTGAAAATCAGATAAAGAAATCTCAGTGAGGTTAAATAATTTAATCAAGATTATGTAGCCAATATGAGCCAGAATTGAAATTCAGTCTGATTCTGAGTCTTGTATTGTCTCCAGTGCCTATGTTATAAACCTCCCTAAAAATTTTAAACTGTTCTAAATTTTAAGGTAGATTCTAAGTTAAACATACAGATGAGTGGGTCTGGTTTTGCTTCTAAGACAGCACATACAAACAGTCCTTCTCCTTTTAAGAGACTTGCCATTTTAAAACCGTTTGAGATAAGTAGTCTGTTTCCTGGCCACTAGATTCAAATATATATGTTTTAAAGAAAAGTCAAGCCATTTCATTTGCTTTTTAAAGCTTTCTTCTCTATCGCTTCTCAGCCTTTTGGCTCAGAGCAAGTGTAAAGCTTTCGTCTCAGGTTGTCTTTGTCACTTACCTATCTTTCTTATATCCCTTCTGGCCCCCGCAATGTCTGTAGGTGGGCTGGATCCTTTCTATTCTGGATGAACTACAGCTGAGCCCTCAGCCTCCCGTCGGGGTCCTTCCTCTGGGGACTGGGAACGACCTGGCCCGAACTCTCAACTGGGGAGGGGTAAGAACTGCCCTCAGGGGCTGCCCATGCTGTCAGGTAGGAGGGACCGTGAAGCCACAGATGTTCTAATGGAAGGGGGCTATGCTACCGTTGTTCAAAGAATAAGTTAGAATTGAGAATCGGTGCCCACGCATCATGATTTCCTCTGGGACCTTCTTCAGTTTAAACTTAGAATCATCTAGAGAAGAAAGTGGGGTATAAAGATGGGGGTTAATACATAGGCCTAGGGCTTCTTGAGGTATCCATTGAAAGGCAGTTGGGTGGGTTGGCCTCAAGTCTTCATGTGAAGACCTGACTTGATCTTGACCCTTAGCCCTGGCCAGAATAGCAAATCTGGTTCAGATTACAATCCCTGCTTTGGGAGAGTTACAGATTTGGGGGAGGATTTGTTTTTCTGGTTGGTGTCATCATGGCTTTGTTGTCCAGGTGGCCAGCTGTCCTTTCCACCAGAGAGCCGACTTCAGGCAAGCTTAGTGGAAGAAGTTTACCCGTTACTAACCAGCCATTTTATTATTATTATTATTTTTTTTTTACAGAGTTAAGATAGCAAGAAGGCACAACTTGCTAACATAGGCAGCCCTACCAGCTTTTTATGTACTCATAAGAGAGGTTGGACTAGGCTCCATGAAAATTATCATCAGATCTTAGCAGATAACAATTTGACCTTTGTGTGAATTGACCTCGCTTGGGTGATAATTATCTTCAGATATTAGCAGATACTCATTTGGTTATTGGGTGAATTAACCTCCTACAGGTCTTTTTTATTTTTTTCAAGTGGGCATAGTAGAAATAATAATAATACATTAGTTGCTTCATGTAAATAGGTTGATCACTGTTAACATCTCTCATCCACATCAGTGACTTGAGTATCCTTAATATTCATGATGCCAGTAACATACGCTCAAGGAGTAAGTGGTTGCCTAAGAGGGGTGTGCCTCAGACAGACTCACCTTAAGCCATGCAAGGAACAGTGTCCCACTACAGGGTTAGGGAGAGGTGAAGAGGTGGTAACAGAAAAAGTCATCTATCCTATGCCACCTTGATTCTTTTCCTCCTTTTCCATACACAGTTTTTCTGTGTATCTCTCAGATGCCTCTAGTGGCATATAGGGGACTCCTGTTTTCATTTTGACAGAAGTGACCCTCCAGCATGGCCTCCAGATGTCTACCTGTGACTCTTGGTCCTTGGTCCTGGCAAAAATTACTCCTCACCTCAAACCAGTTAGAGCAGTATTGCACTACGCATGTTACTGGTGACTCTTGTCTTAGATTCTAAGTACTTCAAGGGAACCAGTCTACTTTCCCAGCCTTGCTAATTGCAAAACAAATAGGGAACTATAGCAGAAGAACTCTTGCTTGCATGAAATGGCTTTGGTTACACTGTTCGTTGCTCCAGGTGGCAATGGGTATTTTCTTTGATTCCTTAGGGCTACACTGATGAACCTGTCTCTAAGATCCTTTGCCAAGTAGAAGATGGGACAATTGTACAGCTAGATCGCTGGAACCTCCATGTAGAAAGAAACCCAGACTTGCCTCCAGAAGAACTTGAAGATGGCGTCTGTAAGGTGAGAGAGCTCTTTCTTCCCCAGAAGGGAAGTCTGGAACGTGTACCTGAGCCACAAGAAGTGCAGTCCTGGCTGGAGAGTCATACGGTGATTCCTTCCTATGACATCACAGGGATTGATGTTTGAGTTTATGGCTACTAGGCGTGTAACACTTTTCCATGATTCTGCCCCACAGACTTCTAAAGACTGAGATTTCCTATCTGCCTCCAGTGCTCAGAGAGCTGTTCTCCATCCTCAACTTCCACACCAGAAAGAATGTATTCATTTTCTAATCTGTCAAGCATTGCAAACTCATGACCTATTAGAAGGTGAAAACTATGGGTATTCTGAAGCTTTAAGCATGTGGTCTTTCAATGGAAAGATAACCTCCTGAGATTTGTAGTCTTCTATTAAATCTCTCTTATGTGAAGCACGTATGAAGTAAGTCAGTTTCATCACTTGGTTGGGACTTGAAGATGCCCAAGTAAATATTTTGACTTAGTATTTTTCCTTCAGTGACTGAACTTTCATTTCCACCCAAGACAAACCAAGAGACACAGTAGTACATATGTTAGTGCACAGCCCCAGGAGAACATTTGGTTCTAAGTTCTGGCCTCAATTTCAGATAAATCTGACACATTGCCAGATAGTCACTTCCTGCATATTACCTTCCACTTTTCTTCGGTGATAGTGTTTTCAAAGTTTTGCATAAGAACCTCCATGTGCAAATTATGGGGCCCAGTCTCCATTGACTCTGATCAAGTCAGTGCAGGGTTAAGGCCCTGGATCTGTACTTTCAGTGGCATCCCTGCTTTATTGGATCATGCTCTTGGTTGAGCCCGCATGTCATAGGCATTTCCACTTTAAAATAAATTGAACCAGATATCCTTTTAAACCAAACCAAAACCTAGTCACTCATTAGCACCATGATCCTGATCAATGGTGATAAACACTCAAGTTTATTATTTGGCTAAAATAGGTTAAAGCATGTTTTATCTTGTCCTCACGTTTTTTCTCCTAAACCATGATCCAGAAATTGTGAGGTTTCTAAAAGATACCATGACTGCTTCATACATTTGCATTCCTAAGTCACAGTGTTGTTTGAAACTGCAGTTATCACCTTGGGATACGATACTTCTTTCTGATGTGTTCAACTTACAGAAACTGGGTAGAATATAGCCAAAGTGAGAAGAATTATACCATATGGAAATTTTAAGGTCCTTTCCCCACCAAGATTAGAATGCTTAGGCCCTCAGTCAAAATCTCTATTTAAATCTCCACCTGACAGCTTACGAAATGGAAAGACTCCTTGGTACAGCCAGAGAACATTAATCCGGATACTTAAAGGATTTTGAAAAACTGGATTTTTGAGGAGATATATAGGAAATTGGGGCAATTTTTCCTGGAAAATGTGAATATGAACTTAATAATAGAATAAATTGGGATATTATTTAGGGGATGGTGACCAGATGTTCTCCTAAAGCTATTGGTGAATGCTAAGACATGGGTTAGAATTGTAGCCAAGAAAACATAAATGGTAGGGATGAACATATCTGTGCTTTTGGCAAGATCACCAACCCTTGATGTTGTTACTAAGGCTTGGTATTTTGTTTAAGTGTAGGAACTAGACATTCTCAAATATGAAGCCAGGAGAATGAGACAAGATTTTGGCATTGTTCTGTGTTTAGTTTCTCCCCTGCTCTCCAGCCAGTTGTAGACATTTCTAAGGGGACTGATTTGACCTCCAAATTTATAATAAGCTCTGACTCAGGGCCTTTCATGGGCAGTTCATTCTTTATTTCTATTGGATATGAAGGCCATCTATTTCCTTTCCTTCTGTATTAATATCTGTCTTTCTGTTACTCTCCCTCTCATTTCATTTATCTCTTAATGGGATAAGGTCCTTACTCTAATCAAACAAAGTTTTACTGGTCAAGGGGCATAAGAAACCCTGTAATAAACTTACTTTTGAAATCTTAAGGGTTAAACACTTACTTCTAACAGAAGAGAAGTATATTTCTATCTGGAGGCTAAATCTGATAATTATCTGGAAACATTCTCCAAGCTGAGATGAAGTTGCTTCTCTGTTTGGTCTAACATTTACCTTCCACTCTGAGTTGTGGAAGGTAAAGTAGAAGAGCCACCATTTCCTTTCTAGCATTTTCCATGTGCTTTCTCATTGTTCTAACATGGAAGCCTTAAAAGCACATAAGTTTTCCAGTTCTGTTGAAGGATTTTAGGTTGCATAGTCCTCTCCTTTACTAAGCTTGCAGTGGTAGCAACCAGGGACCCAGAGGACTCTAGGAAGACTTGTGTGTATACCCACATCTGTGTCTACGTATTTCATGGTCATATTAAAGATACAAGGTCTGATAGTCTAAATCAAAATCTGAATAATACTGACAAATATGTATATACACATAGATTATTTTTTTTTCCTATAGATCAGGGGTAGCTAAATGTTTCCCACTGCCTTGTTGCTTATGACTTATGTCAAAAAGGGATTTTAAAAAATGGAAGTGTAAAATATTAAATATTATTCATTTGAAGTTGCAGTATTAATATGCTGGCCATAAATTCTCAATAATTGTATCCACGGATTAGCTTACACATGATCCTTCCATTCGAATTGACTTTCTAAGTTTGCTTAGTGAGTCATTCTTTGTAGCTATTGGGGCTGTACTTCCCTCAGCTTAATTGGGCTCTCTTATTTAATATCCACAAGAAGAGTTCCCATTTAATAATTTGTATCTGCATCGTTTGTTTCCTATACTACTTAAAATTCTTGGGAGTGTTATTTGATTTGAGCTCTCACTAATGAATTCAAAAATCCCTTGTTCCTCATATGCAAACACCTTCTCCCTTCAGTTGTGACTTCCCTCTTTCCCTGGGACTGCCGTGGAGACAGGTGTCTGGCATTAGGCTTTATTTTACTCTTTCTGCCTGGTTACGCACCACTTCACCTGTACTTTGTTCATCATTGCAGCTTCCTCTGAATGTTTTCAATAATTACTTCAGCCTTGGATTCGATGCCCACGTCACACTGGAGTTCCATGAATCCAGAGGTGAGGACAGCGTCCCATTTCCATCTCCCAGGGAGGAAGTTTCCAGCAGGTGTTTTGCATGTTCCCTTCTGTTTGTATATCACTTAAATATTGACAGTGTGCATCAGTGTTGTTCATTTTAACTTTCATGATGACCCTGGGAGCTAGACAAGATAGGAACTTGTTACAGATCGGATCCTGAGACCTAGTTGTTTAGGGTCTCAGAGATGTAAAGGACAACACAGATGGATGTTCCAGATCTCAGACCGCTAATTTTTAAGTTTGACTAGAAAGTTTGGGGTTAGTGAACCACTAGGAAGAGATAAAGCTTCTTTCATTCAAATCATTAGGATATTCACAGCTTCTTGAATCACTGATTGTTAAAGTCCAACACTTTATAAACCAGGGCCATTGAATCTGGCAGCAAAAACATACCAGTCCTCCCTGTGTGTGAGAAAGAGATAGCAGTCATCTTGGGGAACAGTAGGGAAGCTGATCAGTGGTTTAGGTGGAAAGAAAGGCTGGTGATTGGATTGGTGACAGAGGTGCTGGGAATGCCCACTGGACAAGCTAGGGGACGAGTGAGAGCCGGTGGTAATTTCAAGGGCTGGAAGAGATGGAGACAAGATTAGGGAACAAAATTATTTTCGAAAGACAAATAAGATGAAATAATGGCATGTGGTTAAATACTTCATCAGAAAATTTCTTATGCCATTCAGAGCTGAGAAAGTTGAGGATTTGGGCTTATGTTTGGAAGCCCCAAACGTCCGTGCTCACGCTCATTCACCTGGTGTCTCTTCATCTCTCAAAATCTCTTATTAATGTAACTACAAATATCTATGTCTTTGCCTGTATCTACATCTGTACCTAGTCTCATGGGAATAAGTTAATATATGACCAAAATCATGCTGGGCAGTAGGTTAGTGAGTGTGTTGTGAGATAAAACACGTACGTGAGAGGATTATTTTACTTCTTTTCCTCCAGATTCTTCAAGAGATTCAGTGGTTTTAACTCCTAGAATTTGAAATATAGAGACCTAAAAGACTTCAAATGTTCACATTCTACTAATAACTGATAACCCAGAGGAAATTCTGGTAACACTCTTATGCAATAAAGGTCAAGAGTGGAGTAGTGGGATTAAGGGCGTTAGAATACAAACTGTAAGTGAAGCCCAAACGTGTAATTTTCTTATGGAGATCAGCAGTTTTGGTAGGCTTTGCCTTCCTGCTCTCATGAGGCTTTGAGAGTCAAATGCCGTGTCAACTAAAAACAATACTCAGCATAATACTCTTCATCTCCATCCGTGTTGACGTAAATTGTACCTACCATGTAAATCCGTATCTTGGCTAATTGAATTTAAATGAAAAATAAAATAAAGTAAAATAAAAGTGATGATGATCAAAGAGAAAGCCATAGTTTGACTTTTCTCTCTGAAAGTTTGGTTGAAAACAGAACCACAAATAACAAATACCCAGATCAGAAACACTACCGCCCTCCCATCTCCCTGTCATAGACAGCTCTTGGAGATGGATATTCAGGGAGTCCTACTGTAGGGCCCACATTTATAGTCTGTTGGTCTCCCTATACTTAAGGAGACTTAATTTAGGGAAGTAAATGAAGATTACTTTCCTCATTTCTTAACCCATATTTTTCCCCTCATATTCTTCAGGAGACTCTGGTTTTGGGCTTCCTAGCAAAATCTTTCAGTTTCTTAACAATACTTAAAATTATCACCAATGCATGAATCTTCCAAAATAGACATCCTGGCATGAAAAGAGACCTAAATGAGTAAGTGGCAGACAATGAGCTCATTCACGGGAGCCTAATATTTTGTCTAATTAATCTGACAATTTCCTAATGATACATTTCCTTGTACTGTGATGAAAGTTTTGTGTCTCAGAGTGAAGGAAGCAGGGAGAGATATCAAGGGAGAAAGACCAGGCTTAGAAGAGAATTCTTGAAGGAAAGTGATTTTTTTTTTTAAGTGGGACTACGTCGTTTGAGAAAGGAATATGCAAACTGTGGTGTATACGCGCGCGCGCGCGCGCGTGTGTGTGTGTGTGTGTATACATAGTTTAATGTATGTGTGATTATAAAACATTTGGTTAAAAGATGCAAAGACTAGTGTTTTAATAGGTTATTGTTGGGGCTTAGTGTAAGTGCCCTTGAGGAAAACCAGCCACTGGAGAACTGGTAAGGGAGAATTGATGTTTCCTGAGATATTCTGCAGTATTCATGAAGATAGTATAGAAATAAATATCCACAAAATGTTGAAGACAGGTTTAGTTGATAACCCTATACCAGAGGTGTGGACTTCTTAATACCTGTTAATCTATTCACTTTTCATTAATTAAAAATCATTAATTTATGCTGAAAAGTATGATTACCCAAGCTATTTTTTTTTTGCTTTTACTATTTTCTGTTTATTTGAATTTTCTTCATATTTTTACCTGGATAATCAAGAAATTTCAGGCTCTCCTACGAAAGGAAAAGAAAGATAATATAGCTACATTTTCAATAGGGGCAGACTTACTTATTTCTTTTGATATTAAGTGGCTATTCTCAAGCCAAAAATACCAATAGCTGGGACTTCAAACTGTTCTCAAATGTAGACACTCAGTGTGAGACATCATGACAAAACTTGTATCATTTGCCATGAAATACCTGAAGGATGACTCAAAGCCTCATGAGAGCCATTATAAAAAAAAAAAATGAGCTTGGATAGAATAACCTATTAGGTATTAATAAAAGGGGGGGGAGAGAGAGAGAGAGTGTGTGTGTGTGTGTGTGTGCGCGCGTACTTGGGATTTATGCTAATCTATCTACATGAAATGGGTAATAAATATAAATCTCACTAAGGCAGAAGCTCTGAAAATGTAATTGCAGAAGCAATTTTTGGCATAGATGTGAAACAGCCCATCAAATACAGGGGATAATTAAAGGCATTTGAGATAGTTTATTGGAGGTATTACTGTTTAAACACTTTTAGAATCATCAGTAGAAAATCAAGCAAGGAGTAAAGACAGTCTTAACATTTTGATTGACTTTGTATAAAAAGAATGCAAACATTTGAATAATCTGGGTTTCTATATTTGATCAGAAAGTTGGTTTAGTTCATTTGATTGGAAAATAGAGATGCTTTCTTCTTATTAAAGTGGCTAAACCATGCTTGGTTGAGCTGTTGCTTGCATATCAGAAAGTGCAGTCTTTCGGAATAGGGTTTGGAGATGTAACAGAATTGGCCATTTAATTTTCAGCTGGAGTCTTGCCCAGAACGTTAATAACTATTGCGTTATGACAGTGCTTGAGCAAGTACATTGAAAATATTCCCATCCATTAATGTATAGACATGTTAACAATGATTATGGTTATCAGGTGGCAAGGTTAGGTCTCACTTTGCCAGCTATATGAATTAGATTGTCATTTTTTTTTTTTTTGGACGTGAAGGATATTAAGCATGTCAAACTTTTAGCCTTAGATTGGATACTTAAATGTTACTGCCTCTCTGAAGTTACTTATTCAGAGGAGTTGAACCTTACGCTACAAGGTCAGAGAAATACAATTATGACTCTAAAGGAGGCAGTATTTAAATTTGATTTAAAATTTACTATTTTCACTGAATATACAAAAACATGCAGATGAGCATGTTTCTGAGGATTATGAATGTTTCATGATTCATATGGAGAATGAACAGATTTCTTTAAAAAGACATTTCAGTAGCTTGCTAAATTTCATCAAAGGACACACTACCAGTCTTATGTCTAGGTACTGAGACTCAAGCATGATTTGCCCTTGTGAAAGTCTTATGGTCCAAGCTTCTCTATCTGTAACCTCCTTTTCATTTTGAACTTCTGCATGGCACCTACCTTCATTCAAGATTCAAGTGTACCTGCCTCTGGAACCCTTTTGATCATTCCCTTTATGTGTGACTCTCACTTCATCTGCTATAGGCATCTTTGTATGGCATATACAAAATGATGTTTCCCTTTACTTTTCAAATCTATCTCCTCCACTCTAAAACTCATGTGGGCAAAAGAACATATCTTCTTATAGTCCCTGTGCCAAGCCCATGGCTATCTCAATAAGTATTCGTTACAGTAATGGAAAGTGTAATTAGAGGAGAGGCCCCATATATAATATAAAAGATCACAACAGAAAGGACTATATAGTAGGGATAAGATTAGTTATATAGGCAGTAAATAATACAGGAATTTGGCAGGGAAAATGTATCAGGGGAAAATTTCCAGAAAGGGTAAGAGGGAGCTGAGAGATAAAGGAGTGCAAAATGTAGTTTAGAAGTAAAGTGGGTAAGGACATTTCAGACAGCAAAGTACAGAGGGACCAATGAGCTTGTGATAAGATGGGTTGACCAATTAATACATAGTGAAAGAGTTTTTTTTTTTTTTAATTATTTATTTATTTATTTGACAGAGAAAGATCGCAAGGAGGCAGAGAGGGGGTGGGGGAAGCAGGCTTCCCGCTGAGCAGAGAGCCCAATGTGGGGCTCGATCCCAGGACCCTAGGATCATGACCTGAGCTGAAGGCAGAGGCTTAACACACTGAGCCACTCAGGTGCCCCCATAGTGAAAGAGTTTTGCAGCCATGTTAGAAGAACAGATAATGTTGATAAAACTATTTGTCCTTCATGGGAGATGATGTTGGAAGACAAGATTTTTTTTTTGGATATATGCCATTTGAATTGAAAGTGGCATTGTTATTGTAGGTATAGATTTGGGGATCATTTATGTATATATAACTGAAGTCTTAAGATTGGGTACATATCTAATGCAGATAATATGGAAAATGTGAGTTTTGTGCAGTTCAAGTTGCTTATTGAGTTTTATAAACATAGAGTTGAACTTGTATTTATGAATATCTCCTCTAATATGCCAGACCAATTACAGACAAAAGTAGAGTCTAGGATCCTATTCTGATGGCACAGATGTTATTGTGTTGTACATAAAAATAGGATTAATATATTAAACCAGTGGAATGGAAAATACCCAGAACCTTATTATCATCATAACTGGATTACATCCAGAGCCAAATCATTTAGGTGATTTTGATGATGAGATTTGGGAAGTTTGAGCTAATAAGCTTGAGTTGAGATTTTTAGGTTTTGAGTTGATGCTCTAATGGGGATGAGACCTTTGGGGACCTTGGAAGGAATGAATGTTTTTCATATGGGAAAGATGTGAACCATGGGGGTCAGATGGTAGGTGATGGTGGGTAGAATTTTGGCCTTTATGACATTTGTTATTTGGTATCATGCTTGTTGGTTATGTTATTTTACATGGAAAAAAGACTTTTTTAATGTTATTGAGGTCAATAATTACCTGCCGTTATATAGGAAGAGAATTCTGGGTTATCTGAGTGGGCCCAGTGTGATACCATGAGCCCTTCAAAGTGTAAGTAGAAAGTTAATTAGGAAGTCAAAGAGATGTGGTAGAAGGGAAGCCAGATAGATTTGCAGGGTGGAAAAACACTTGATGTGGCCCTGGTGGCTTGGATGGTGGAGGGGATCCCAAGCCAAGGACTCCAGGAGGGCTCTAAAAGTTGAGAATGAACCTTAGCCAACAGCCAACAAGGAAAAAGAACTTCACTTCTCCAACTATAAGGAAATGGGTTTTGCGAACTATCTGAAGAAACTTTGAAGTGAGTCCTTTTTTTCAAAAAGATTTTATTTATTTATTCATTAGTTCATGTATTTAGAGAGTGTGTGTGAGTGGGGGGAGGGGCAGAAGAAGAGGGAGAGAGAGAAATCTCATACTCACACCTGGTGAATCTGGAGCCCGACACAGGACTTGATCTCACAACCCTGTGATCACAACCTGAGAGGAAATCAAGAGTTGGAAGCTTAACCAACTGAGCCAGCCAGGCACTCATGAAAGTGAATCCTTTTTAGAGTCCCCATAGAAGAGTTCTGCAGGCTGACACCTTAATTTTGACCTTGGATGAACCTAAGTAGAGGACTTAGATTTTGGCCCAGGGAACAAGAAAATAAATGGATGTTTTAAGTTGCCAAGTTCTCAGGAATAGGAAACGAATACAATTAATGTTGGTGTCTAATCAGATTATAAATAGGCTAATGGCTCTAGACATGCATAGTGAGCATTTAGATCTTGCTTGGGTACACCTGTTCTTGTGGAAGAGGGAGATGGGCAGTCCAGGAACTGTAGCAATAAGACATGGATGCTTCCACTATTGGGGTCTTGGGATACTTTGAGTATTATTAGTATTTCTTGAGAATGGCCTTTCATAGTTGACTTCGTACCAATTAACAGATACAGCTTCCTTAAGGAACAAGAATACTTACCACTTCGTTACTGGTCCTTTCCCAATTTTGTATGTCCCCTTTTCTTGATATAGTTGGGGACCATGTTCCTTGGACCTTCTCAAAGACCTTTCAATTCTTACACATCCACATATCCAGCCACTCAACACTCTAAGAGCCAATAAGGAATGACTAAGTACTGTTATTTGCAGACATCCCTTGCTTTCTTAGGGACTGTCTTCTGCAGGGAGTAGGGAAGTTCCAATACTACCCAACATCTCTCTCAGCTCTAGCCAACCTTTGTTTCTGAGGCTCTTTGAAGTAGGGTACATATTGAATTGGAAAAATTGTGTAATCAGCAAGGCAGGCTCAGTCAGGGAGTCAGTATATAATGCCATTATACTATTAGCAGAGATAACAGAATTTACTTCCATCTTTTCTGTTCTCAGGGCTAAGGAATATGTGTGACTCTCCTACCTGGTTATCTTTCTGATATCTCTCTAAATGCTAGTATCTTCATCTTGTTTAGTTTCACATGTTAATTGAATTTTATCTAGTTAAATTACATTTGAAGTGACTGTTTTCATCAGCTGTGTCAGTGAAATCACCAAAAACTCAGTTTATTTATTAATTTTATTCTACCCATTTTGGGTCTTAAAAAACATTTTCTATCTCTTGAGAGAAAACATTTTTTTAAACTTTTTTTGGAAGACTTTATTTATTTATTTGACAGAGAGATAGAGACATCACAATTAGGCAGAGAGGCAGACAGAGAGAGTGAGTCTGCCCACTGAGCAGAGAGCCCAATGCAGGGCTCCATCCCAGGATCCTAACAGCTTGACCTGAGCCGAAGGCAGAGGCATAACCCACTGAGTTACCTGTTTCTGTTTAAAGAAACAGTTTTCTGTTTAAAGAAACAGAAAACTGTTTCTTTAAAGGGGGAAAAAAAAACCCAACAACTTAGGCTTATAGGAAAACTCCTTAAGAATGTGAATCTTTTCCAAACCACAAAGTAGTGGTTTTTTTTTTATTTTTTTAAAGTAAACGTTAATAGTTGATGCATGATTCGCTTGATAGCTGTGGACATTAGTGCCCTGAAAAAGTTCTATGCCAGAACTGTGGGTGCCATTTTCCAGTTTTTTTTATTATAACTTGCTCAATAGCCAGATCTGACTTTTCCTTTTATTCTCTTACAAAATTAGGGATTAAGTACCCATGATAAGTTATACAACAACAGAAATCCTAATTTTGCCTCTGGTCCATAAAGCAAGAGTTAATGCAACTGAGATTGGTACCAAGCCAAATCTGGGTTAAGAAAGATTAAATAAGAAACAAACAAACAAACAAACAAAAAAAAACGTTACTTAGAGCCAAATTTATCCTAAAGGCCCACACAATAAAAATGTTGAGTTCTGGGTCCAGAAGTGGGGACCAAAGAGATGGAGTACTAAGTACACTTTTGTCACTTTTTCTGTTTAGTATAGCCTGTAAATTCACCTTTAACTTTTGTTTAATTTTGTTTCTAGGGTTCAGAGTAACTCAATCCAATAGAATAGACTGAATGTTCAAGGACAGTTATGAGATACAGAATCTTAAATACGTAAAAACTCTTGAGTCAATATACAACATACTACCTTATTTTTCTTTTTAAGTTTACAAACTTTGACCCAGTTTCCATGTTAGGTGCTAATATTATATTCTAATAATCTTGAAAATAATCTAATGATCCTAGGTCTAGGATTATTCCCTGAGATTGTGTAGCTCTTACTCTATCCTATCTTAGTGAGTGAGCTCCTTGCTCCTTTTCTTCATCTAGACAATTATTAAGATTTTCCATTCAAACATAGGGCCAGGACTTGAAGAGTTTCAACTAGTTAGCCAGCTGTCTGATGAGAAACAATTTGAAGAAAGACCTTGCCCTGAGAAGGGATTAATGAGCACATGGGATAAAATAGCAGAAGGCAAAACATTGACAGTGGGTCCCATTGGAATGTCTTGGAATTCTACTAGAAAGAATATAAGGAAATAATATTTCACTTAGGGATTTTATAATCCCTTATATTCATGTGAACATTCTTTGATGCAGATTCTTATTTAACCTTTTTTGTGATCTTTATATAACAAACAGGACCAAACTCAAAATAAAACCATTTTTCACCCACAGTCTTTGTTGTCATAAGCCCCGAGTCATTTAGCAGTTGACCTGCATGTATGTATATTTCTGTACCTCCAGTTAACCAAGTGAGTGGTTAAGGCCTGTGACAAACAAAAGCACAGATGGTAGTTAGGAGTTTTGGTAAGATGTGAAAGCAAATTCTCTACTTTTACCCAATTTCCCATATTTCATTACATTTGGAATCTGCATACATAGTTTATAGAAGATGCGCCCTATGGAGGTCAAAGCAGATAATCACCCCTCATCACCCTCCTTTGTCCTATCACCCTTGCCTTGGATCCCTGCCAGCACTCTATTCTGAATAGAATCCAGAGTGTCTCAACTTTTAATGTACATGTAAGTCACCCAGAGAGCTTATTAAATCATGATTCCTGGACACCACCCCCTACACATTATAATTCAGTAGGTCTGGGGTAGACCCTAATAATTTGCATTTCTAACAAGCTTCCAGTTGATGCTGATGCTGCCATTTTGGGGCTACACTTCTGTAGCGCTAAACAACTATACCAACCAGCCTGTAACTAAGGAAAAGATGATAATGAGGCTGTTGACTCTGTTGGATCTGTGGGGTGGGGAGGGAGGGCAGAAGAAGTAAGAATGTTAATGGAAATCACTACCTTTAATGAGGTCTCTATAACAAAACTACCTTTTCCTTTCACAGAAGCAAATCCAGAGAAATTTAATAGTCGTTTTCGAAATAAAATGTTCTATGCAGGGGTAAGTATATATTTTATAATTATTACCTATTATTTAATACTAACTAAATACTAATTACTTGTTGGTAATAGGAATACTAACTATATGAAAAATTATTACTCACCTCAGATGTTTGCAAGTATTTCTATGTATGATTACAATTTAATGTCTGGTTTACAATTAAGATGTATTTAAGTTGGTAGAAAGGGAGCTGGTGTTCATCATCTTTGAACTTTAAAGCTTTAAGGCTTCTTGTTGTCCTGAGGGGGTGATATTCAAGGAGTGATATGAGCAACATCAAAGCCAGTCTTGAGAATGGGGGAGTTAGGCAGACTGAAAGATGTATAAAAAGTCTTGAGTAAGAATGTGGTTTGCACAGGAGTACATACGCATCAGTGTTGGATGAGAAATTGACAGAGGGTGGGCAGTTTCTCATGGAAGCATATATGTGAGTAAAGGAGGTCTTTTTTCCTTCTCCTCAGGGACATCGTGGGGATGAATGGCCAGAAAGAGGACAGGGGTGGGGGATGGGAAGGCCTTGAAAATACTGATTTTAAAAAAGTGTAGTTGAAATTTAGGCCACTGAATAGAGAGAATGGAAATAAAAAGGGAGAGGGTGAAACAAGACATTCTTAGTGGTAAGTTCAAGATGATATCAGCACCCCGTGATCAAGTAGGAGGTCAGGAAAAGTCATCAAAATAAATCTTCAAACTGACCGTTGGAATTACCTACTTTTTAACTTTTCTACTGTGTTCTTAAATTTTATTATAGGTTATAGTTTGAAAACAGAGTTTTCAGCCTGACAGTGACTGTATTTTGCTTTGCATTTAGCAAGATAAGAACTTCTTTATATTTTGAATAATTTAGAAACATTAGGAACTGTTGATAGTATGGAAGCAAGGATTTGGCATAACCATGTGATTAAGATTGGTTTTTCTTCCTTTATTTCCTTGTGGTATAGGCAGCTTTTTCTGATTTCCTACAAAGAAGTTCTAGAGATCTATCCAAACATGTTAAAGTTGTTGTAAGTATTGAACACGTTGACTCGGCTCATTTGAATATAAATATGTATGCTGCAAAAAACATACCCCAAATACCAGTTTATATACTTAGATTAATCAATGTGTTGCATTAATTCCAGAGATCATTTAATGTAGTTTATTCAGCCAACATTCCTGAGAATATAGCTCTGTGTTGGCAACTCTCTTAGTTGCTCAGAATGGACAGACAGCTAGTTTCACTCCTGAAGAAACTCACAGTTCAGTCGCAGAGAAGAGCACTTAAGTCATTACATAACACTGTAATTAATAGTGTTGACTATGTGCACAATGTGGTGGCATTCAGAGGGAAATGGAAACTGACTCTGGTGAGTCCAGGGAAACTATTATCGAATAAGTGATGTTGAGCTGGGTCTTGACATAGAAATAGGTGCTCACCAAAAATACCATTATTTCAGTTACTTGGGACTCTCCATTTTAGGCAAATGCATTCACTTAATTTTTTGTGATGATTCACTCTGTAGCCTGGCCAGGGTTCTTCACACTGAATGGTTTGTTTGTTTTTGGTACTATTTCTTCCTGGGTTTCTACCCCAGATTTTTAGATACACACTCCTTGGAGGCACAGAGAGGGAAAGTTACCTATTCTCTAGGAGCTATATTTTAAAATAGCATATCATTAGGGGTGCCGGGGTCACTTAGTCAGTTAAGCGCCTGACTCTTGATTTCTGCTCAGGTCATGATCTCAGGGTCATGGGATTGAGCTGGGAGTCAGGCTCTGCATCCAGGGTAGAGTCAGCTTGGGATTCTCTCCTTTTCCCTTTTTCTCCCCCTCTGCCCCTCCACTCTCATGCATTCTCTCTATCTCTCTCTCAAACAAATAAATAAATAAATAAAATCTTTAAAAAATTAAAAATAGCATATCATTAGTTATTAAGAAAGACATAAAATGCTTCCTTATAATAAACAAGTTAAAAGAAGGAGCAAATATGACTATTTTACATAATTGTTTAAGGAGAAAGAAAAAGGAAAAATTATATGGGGAAAAAGGAATGGGATACAGCAATGCTTAAATTTATCACAGCATAGATAAAGAATAGAATATGTGATGAAAGGGGACAGACCAACAGAAATACATTAGAATACAGAAATACAGAAAAATATATATGGGTGTATAGAGGAGCAGGAGTGGGATACAAATTAAAATTTGTAATCACCATGCAGCAAAATTTGTAAAATCTTGTAAAATTTATAAAAATGTTTTAAAAAATAATTCTGTAAAATTTGTAAATTTTTTTTTTTTTAAATTTGTAATCACCATGCAAAAGCAGTTCTAAGAGGGAAGTTCAGAGTGATGCAGGTCAGGTCTATCTCAAAAAAACAAGAAAAATCTCAAGCAGCCTAACCTTATACCTAAAGGAGCTAGAAAAAGAACAGCAAAGCCCAAAACCAGTAGAAGAAAGAAAATAGCAAAGATTAGAGCAGAAATAAATGAAATAGAGACTTAAAAAGCAATAGAAAAGTCACTAAAACCAGGAGCTGGTTCTTTGAAAAAATAAGCAAGATTTATAAACCCTTAGCCAGACTCATCAGACAAAGAAAAAGAGGACTCAATAAATAAAGTCAGAAGTGAAGGATGAGGACTAAAAACCAATACCACAGAAATACAAAGGATTTTAAGAGAATATTATGAAAAATTATATGCCAACAAATTGGACAACCTAGGAGAAATTGATACATTTCTAGAAACATATAAACTTCTAAAACTAAATCAGGAAGAGAGAGAAAATTTGAACAGACCAATTATTGGCAATGAAATTAAGTTGGTAATCAAACTCCTGACAAACAAAAGTCCAGAACCAGATGGCTTCAGGGTGTGAGTTCTACCAAACATCTGAAGAAGAGTTAATACCTATTTTTAAACTATTCCAAAAAATAGTTGAGGAAGAAAAGCATCCAAATTCATTCTATGAGGCCACCATTACTCTAAAACCAAGACCAGACAAGTCACAACAAAAAAAGAAAACTATGGCCTACTCTGTCTGACTAACATAGGTGCAGAAATTTTCAACAAAATATTAGCAAATTGAATTCAATAATACATTAAAAAAATTATTCACCAGTCATGTGGGATTTATTCCAGGGATGCTAGAGTGGCTCAGTATTCACAAAAAATCAACATGATACATCACATTAACAAGAGAAAGGAAAAAAAAATCACATGATCATCTCATAGATGCAGGAAAATCATTTGATAAAGTACAACATCCATTTATGATAAAAACTCTCAACAAGTGGGCTTAGAGGGAACACACCTCAACGTAATGAAGACCATATACAAAAAACCCACAGCTAACATCATACTCAATGGTGAAAAACAGAACTTTTCCTCTAAAATGAGGAACAAGACAAGGATATCCACTGTCATCACTTTTACTCAGTATAGTATGGGACGTCCTAGCTGCAGCAATCAGACAAGAAAAAGAAATAAGGCATTCATATTGGTCAAGAAGTAGTAAAACTGTCACTATTGGCAGATAACATCATAATGTATATATAGAAAACCCTTAAGATTACACAAAAAACAACTAGAATTGATTGATGAATTCAATAAAGTCACAAGAAACAAAATTAATATACAGGAATCTCTTGCATTTCTATATATTAATAATGAAGTAGCAGAAAGAAATAGGGAAACAATCCCATTTATACTCACACCTAAGGAAATGAAAGACCTATTCTCTGAAAACTGTAAAACACTGATGAAAGAAATTGAAGATGGCACAAATGAAAAGATATTCCATGCTCATGGACTAGAAGAACCAATACTGTTAAAATGTCCATACTACTCAAAGTAGTCTTTGGATTTAATGCAATGCCTATCAAAATGCCAACAGCATTTTTCACAGAATTACAACAAATATTACTAAAATTTGTGTGGAACCACAAAAAAACTCCAAATAGTCTTTCTTGGGAGAGAAGAACAAAGTCAGGGGCACCTGGGTGGCTCATTCAGTTAAGTATTTGCCTTTAGCTCAGGTCTTAATCCAAGGGGTCTTGGAATTAAGCCCCTCATCTGACTTCCTGCTCAATGGGACATCTACTCCCTTCCCTTTTGCCCCTCCCCCTCTCTTTTCTCTCTTGCCTCCTGTCCCCCTTTCTCAAATAAATAAAGTCTTTTTTTCCCCCCAAACTACTAGAACTCATACAGCAGTTCAGTAATGTGGCAGAATACAAAATCAATGTAGAGAATCAGTTGCTTTCTTATACACTAACAATGAAAATACAGAAAGGGAAGTTAGAGAATCGATTCCATTTACTATAGCACCAAAAACCATAAGATACCTGGGAATAAACCCAACCAAAGAGGTAAAAGATCTGTACTTGAGGAACTACAGAACAATCATGAAAGAAATTAAAGATGACACCAAAAGATGGAAAACCATTCCATGGTCATGGATCAGAAAAATAAACATTGTTAAAATGTCTATACTGCCTAGAGCAATCTATACATTCAATGCCATTCCGATCAAAATTCCACCAGCATTTTTCAAAGAGCTGGAGCAAACAATCCTAAAATTTATATGGAACCAGAAGAGAACCTGAATTGCCAAGGAAATGTTGAAAAAGAAAAACAAAATTGGAGGCATCACGTTGTCTGATTTCAATCTTTCCTACAAAGCTGTGATCACCAAGACAGCATGGTACTGGCACAAAACAAACACATAGACCAGTGGAACAGAATAGAGAGCCCAGAAAAGGACCCTCAACTTTATGGTCAACTAATCTTCAACAAAGCAGGAAAAAAATATACAGTGGAAAAAAGACAGTCTCTTCAATAAATTGTGCTGGAAAAATTGGACAGGTATGTATAGAAGAATGAAACTCGACCATTCTCTTACACGGTATACAAAGATAAACTCGAAATGGATAAAAGACCTCAACGTGAGGCAGGAATCCATCAGAATCCCAGAGGAGAACATAGGCAGTAACCTCTTTCTCATTGGCCACAGCAACTTCTTTCAAGATGTGTCTCCAAAGGCAAAGGAAACAAAAGAGAAAATGAACTTTTGGGACTTCATCAAGATCAAAAGCTTCTGCACAGAAAAGGAAACAGTCAAGAAAACAAAAAGGGAACCCACAGAATGGGAGAAGATATTCACAAATGACAGTACAGACAAAGGGCTGTTATCCAAGATCTGTAAAGAACACCTCAAACTCAACACACACAAAACAGATAATCATGTCAAAAAATGGGCAAAGACATGAACAGACACTTCTCCAATGAAGACATACAAATGGCTAACAGGCACATGAAAAAATGTTCATCATCACTAGCCATCAGGGAGATTCAAATCAAAACCACATTGAGATACCACCTTACACCAGTTAGAATGGCCAAAATTAACAAGACAGTAAACAACAAGTATTGGAGGGGATGTGGAGAAAGGGGAACCCTCTTACACTGTTGGTGGGAATGCAAGTTGGTGCAGCCATTTTGGAAAACAGTGTGGAGATTCCTTAAGAAATTAAAAACAGAGCTACCCAATGACCCCGCAATCGCAATACTGGGTATTTACCCCAAAGATACAGATGTAGTGAAAAGAAGGGCCATCTGTACCCCGATGATCATAGCAGCAATGGCCACAGTCGCCAAACTGTGGAAAGAACCAAGATGCCCTTCAACAGACAAATGGATAAAGAAGATGTGGTCCATATGTACAATGGAGTATTATGCCTCCATCAGAAAGGATGAATACCCAACTTTTGTATCAACATGGACAGGACTGGAGGAGATTATGCTGAGTGAAATAAGTCAAGCAGAGAGAGTCAATTATCATATGGTTTCACTTATTTGTGGAGCATAAGGAATAACACGGAGGACATGAGGAGATGGAGAGAAGAGAATTGGGGGAAATTGGAGGGGGAGATGAACCATGAGGGACTATGGACTCTGAGGAACTAACTGAGGGTTTGGGGGGCTGGGGTGGGAGGTTGGGTGAGCCTGGTGGTGGGTATTATGGAGGGCACATATTGCATGGAGCATTGGGTGTGGTACATAAACAATGAATTCTGGAACACTGAAAAGAAATTTAAAAAATAAATAAAAATTTAAAAAATAAACATAAATAAATAAAAGAAGAACAAAACTGGAGTTACCACAATTCCATATTTTAAGATATATTACCAAGCTGTAGTAATCAAAACAATATCATACTGGCACAAAAATAGACATATAGGTCCATGGAACAGAATAGAGAACCCAGAAATAAACTCATGCTTATATGTCAATTAATCTATGACAAAGGAGGCAAGAATATACAATGGGGAAAGGACCATCTCTTCAACAGATAGTGCTGGGGAAACTGGACCACTCTCTTACACCAAACCCCAAAATAAACTCAGAATGGATTAAAGACCTAAATATGAGACCTGAAACAATCAAACTCCTGGGAGAAAACATAGGCAGTAATCTTAGATTGGCCATAGAAACATTTTTCTAGATAGGTCTCCTGAGGAAAAGGAAACAAAAGCAAAAATAAACTACTGGAACTACACCAAAATATAATGCTTTTACACAGTGAAAGAAACCGTCAACAAAACAAAAAGACAACCTACTGAATGGGAGAAGATACTTGCAAATGATTTATCTGATAAGGGATTAATATCCAAAATGTATAAGGAATTTACACAACACAACACACACACACACACACACACACACACAAATCCAATTGAAAAATGAGCAGAGTAGAAGACCTGAATTGACATTTTTCCAAAGAAGATGTAAAGATGGCCAAGAGCCACATGAAAAGATGCTTAACATCACTAATCACCAGAGAAATGCAAATCAAAGCTACAGTGAGGTATTACCTCACACTTGTCAAAATGACTAGGATCAAAAAGACAAGAAATAACACAAGTACTGGTGAGGATTTGGAGAAAAAAAGGAAGCCTTGTGTACTATTAGTGGAAATCCAAACTGGTACACTTCTGTGGAAAACAGCATGGAGGTTCCTCAAAAATTTAAAAATAAAAATATTATATGATCCAGTAATTCCACTATTGGATATTTACCCAAAGAAAGTGAAAATTCTAATTAAAAAAGATATATGCGGGACGCCTGGGTGGCTCAGTTGGTTAAGCAGCTGCCTTTGGCTCAGGTCACGATCCCAGCATCCTGGGATCGAGTCCCACATCGGGCTCCTTGCTCTGCAGGGAGCCTGCTTCTCCCTCTGCCTCTGCCTGCCATTCTGTCTGCCTGTGCTCACTCTCTCTCCCTCTCTCTCTCTGATAAATAAATAAAATCTTAAAAAAAAAAAAGATATATGCACCCCTATGTTTGTTGCAGCCCAAGATACGAAAGCAACCCAAGTGTGCATTGATGAATGGATGAAGAAGATGGGAGAGACACACACACACACACACACACACACACACACACACACACACAATATGGAACATTACACAGCCATAAAAAAGAATGAAATCTTGCCATTTGCAACAACATGGATGGACCTAAAAGGTACAATGCTAACTGAAATAAGTCTGTTAGAAACCATACGATTTCAATTCTATGTAGAATTTATGAAAACAAATGAACAATGAAAAAAAAAAACCAACAAACGAAGGACTCTTAAACCCAGATTGGACCTGTGTTTGCCAGAGGAGAAGTAGGTGGGGAGATTGGTGAAATAAAGAGGCCTAAGAGATATAAACTTACAGTTAAAAAATAAATAAGTCATGGACATGAGAAGTACAGCATAGGGAATATATTAGTAAGATTATAAAGATGGTAGTTGGAGATGGATGAGGGCTTCACTGGATAAGCACTGAGTAATGTATAGAGATACTGAATCATCATGTTGTACATCTGAAAGTAATAACACTGTATGTGAATTATATGCCAGTGAGAAAAATGTGTAATCACCGATTAGTAAAGCATGTGTGAGACATCAGTCTTCTGATTCAGTTGAAAGAAGAGACAGAGGCCATTACCAGTGGTGTCAGTAACCCTTGGCATTGCTTTCAGGTAGTTCAGTTCTCATACCATTGCAGTGGAAACAAGCATCTTTTGGTAGTAGAGACTCTTCAGAGTAGAAGTACTGCTTTCTTAAAGCTGGAGGCAAGAAAGACAGTGGTCCCCTGAACTATGAAGGTCTTTATTCATAAAATTATGGCTATTAAAGTAACAGCAACCTCCCTGTTTCTTCAGCTGCTGGCAACCCAACCAAAAATAAACTCGCCCTACTTTTCCAGTATTTTTCACATTGAGAGGAATGGTGGTGGCACCTGCTCAGGGGCCAATGCCGTATTGAATGGATTGGCTGTTCAGATCAGCTGCAGTGAAATAAAACTCTGTATACTCCCTAACCACTAGACAGTTTGTCTACTGCATCTACCAGTCCCCCGATGATAAACATCTCACTCGTGCCTGCCTATATAGCAGGGATTAAAAGAAGGTTGATACTACAGGTCAAAATATCTAATAATCCAAATGCAAAGAGGCCAAAATGGCAGCCAGATAACTAGGAAAGATTTGGTATCAGCCAGTACAGGCAAGATTGCAGGTGAATTGGTTTGTGTGATCCTATCTTGTGTGTGTGAGTGAGTGAGTGAGTGTGTGTGTGTGTGTGTGTGTGTGTGTGTGTGTGTGAGATGAAGAAAAAAAATTAGAAACAAAATCAAATATTTGGGATTTATTACTAGTTCTGCCTTTATGAAGTATATGACTTTGGGGGTATCATGTAACCTTTCAGAAGGCATAAGAAGACAAGCCTTTGAAACAACACACCATCGTGATGTGTCACGCAGGGAAACAGGATATTTCCATAAGGACATCACTGTATGTTTTTTGAGTGAGAGATGGAAAGAAGATTAGCTAGAGCGATCCCATGTATAGGCAAAAACAAACCATCTCATTTTTGCTTCAGTGAGGTCAGTGTTTCTGAGGTAGTAGTTAATCTTTCACATAAATGTAGTCTGTATGAATACTACATCAAAAAAGCATAAGACAATGACAAAATCCTTTGTACAGCATTATTTGTCTTCCTTCCCATGTTTTCTTCTTCTTTTGATCTATCAGTATGTGAGCTTGGGTATAGGAATGTATTTTATGGGCACTTTCCTTTATGTGTTTGAAATAGGAGAAAGGTTGAAAGCTACTGCTCTTGCCCCCCGCCCCAGATTTTCTTTATTTATTTGAGAGAGAGAGAAAGCATGAGCATGAACTGGGGGGAGGAGGCAGAGGGAGAAGCAGACTCCCAGCTGAGCAGATGGCGCTGAGATCATGACCTGAACCAAAGGCAGATGCTTAACCAACAGAGCCACCCAAGTACTATTCTAAATACATACAAAATTTAAAGGCAGTAATATGTAAGAAAACTTTGTGAAGCATGATACATGGTAAATTGCACTCTTTCATAATTTGATAAATTCCCAGAATCACTGACATGTTTCTTAGGAAGAAAAGGTAGAAAATTTAAAAAGATTTCTGTTCTAAATACAATAATTCTATAGGTTTTTTTTTCTGTAAGGTAAATAGTACTGCTTTGTATGCTATTAGTGCATCACACTGTATTTTCAAAATTTTAGTTACTGCACTCAGTTTTGATAATTTAAGATATTTTCTTTGGTATAGTCATCTATCAACTCATTCCAAGTGCTTAAATTGGGAGACTGTTTTCGTAGTGTCTGAGGATATTCAGTCAATATTTAGAATTTGATTCCTTTCTAAATAACATCTTAAAATGTTTTGTTTTTTTAGGGCTATAATATTTCCTGGAAACAGTTTTTGGAGCATGTTTATGAAAATTAGCTGCATTAAGATGAGCTGGGAAAACAATGAGACGCTAATGCTAGCAGAATCACTGTTCTTAGACTGAACACTCCTTTTAAAGAAGTCTTTAAAAATTCACAGGGAGTTTGGGAATGCATTACTCTGCTCTCCCAAAGAGAAAATAACGGGGAATTCTCTGGTGAGGGTTTAGGGAGAGCAAATAAAAAAGCACACCTTTGACATTGAGAAGTCTATAGTGGTGACTAGAGTTTTCTTGACTTTTTTGTCACCAGTGGGAAATGAGAAAGGGAAATGAAAGCCTTTTCTTTGATTAGTTAGAGGATGGTCAAGGAAAGTGCTAACCGGTGAGGGAAGCGCCGAACAGAGGTATTGAGGCCAAGCCAGCCTGAGGCCCTTGAGACACCCTGGGGTCACGTCCAGGTCCAGGAAAGTAGTTTATCTCGGAAGACCAATCCAAGTCTGTAAGATATGAAATGTGTAAGAGCAGATCCCTAATGGAGATACCGCTGATTTATAATAGTTTTTTTTTTTTTAAGCTTGCAGTATATATTCCTCTTAAACAGTTTTCAAAATGTTATGTTCAGTGTTTTCAAAATAAAAATTGATCTCAGAAAGCAAATAACCATCCTGGGTAACTGTGGTGGAGATCACTACTGCCTGAACTTGAGGCTTCCTTTTTTATTCCTTTAAACGTTCATAAATCTTTTGGTTGATACTGCAAGTCAAAATATCTAATAATCCAAGGTTAAGAATGACAGCAGTTCCTTTGCTTATGAAGCCAGAGAAAAATCATTTTAGTCAAATGGCAGCTTTGTTTTTATACCAGAACAAAACCATGCTCTGAACCCTGGGTCTGCTGAAGATAAAATCACGATAACGTTTTCAGTTGTAGTCACAGGCGTTCACTCAAGCAGAGCTGAGGACAAGGGGAAGACCATTACATATATATTATATGTGCATATACATATATGTATTATATATATATCTATATATTAATATCTACACATATATAGATATGTAATTGTATATAACATATATATATTAGACACATGACTACTTCCAACCCCTTTCTCTTCTCTGTTGCAGTGTGATGGAACAGATCTCACTCCAAAGATTCAGGAACTGAAGTTCCAGTGTATAGTATTTTTAAATATACCCAGGTAAGCTCTGTTCATCCTTTTTCTTTGGTGTGATGTGAACTCCGTTTGACTTGAGGTTATCGGTTTTCATTACAGAAAATGTCCAGGGCACAAACAGTGAAAGTAAGGTATCTTACTGGCTCATTAGGGGTTTCCAGGTCTGATCCTTTTGTCCTCCTCCTCAGTTTGTTAGTGTTCTCTGTGGTGGGTGGGGTTTTTTTTAATGCGACGTGGCATGTGTGCTATACACTTATCCATCGTTAAGAAACCCAGGCGCTCCTATTTGCTGGAACGTTTTAATACAATTCTCAATTACTGATTGCCCCTACCTCCCAAGAATAATAGACTTGAATAAATCCCTGTTCTCAGTTTCCCGAAAGCTGTTAGGAAACCATCCAACCTGATTTTAGCATGGAACTCATTCAAAATTGTTGCTAGATGATTGCTTTGAAAAAAATAGGATCAATTAGAGTAGCATTTTCTAGCCAGGATGTCAACTCTCTTTGGTGCTATTATATACCTCAGGAGAAAGGGATATTTAAGATTAACTAGACTCAAAATAAGCACATTTTCTCAGTGGTACAAAATTAAAGTCTGGGCTCCCAAGCCAAGATTTTGGAGGAGATGAATCTATGACCCTTTGTTACTTGCAAACCACACAACTCCAGACACAAAATCTGCAGATAAGTTATATTTAGACTGAATTTAATTGAAATGAGAATTGTATGTAAATCTAAGGCTAGGAAAACATAGTCTCCTGATTACTTTTGGCAAAGCTCAGTATAGTCACCTACAATCCTATTCCAGAAGGATTTTCATCTTCATTATTTCCATAAAAGACCTAGATTCTCAGAAAACATTATTTTCTCAGGAGACATTAGCTCCTTTAATTTTTTTTTCTCTTTTTTTCTTCTTGCTCCCCCTCTCATCATTCCTCTTCCAATTTCCTTTATTTCTCCATCTCTCATCTTTTCTTCATACCTGTCTCACTCTTCCTCACCTACCTTTGTCTGCTTACCTTCCCAGTGGTTGTTATCTTAGCTATGTACATAATGACCACTGTGTACCCACCTCCATTTCCTGGCATGCAGTGTCTTCCTCCAAGACCAAATTCTGGAACCGCCCATGGGTAACTCATGGCATATCATAGAAAACAGATGTAATGGATCACTGAGGGATAAATGTTAATAAATAATGAGTTAGGAGACACTTGGCCACCATGAGATGCTTTTGCTATAAAATTGTGGCCCATTTTCACAGATGGGTATTTGGACATGATAAGTCCACTTTTTTTTCGATCAGAAGGTGTGCACCAAGAATAGAAAACTGTTCTTAGGCGAGATACACGTTGGATCTCCCTCTAAGGTAATACCTAATGACAATCGTAAGAGTGATGGAATAAATTTAATTCTGTTTTTAATCTTATCTTGCAGATACTGTGCCGGCACAATGCCCTGGGGGAACCCAGGAGATCACCATGACTTTGAACCTCAGCGTCATGATGATGGTTATATTGAAGTCATTGGATTCACTATGGCCTCTTTGGTGAGCAATGCAATATTTTATTGAAATGAAATACATTTTAGTTCCAGAGTTTATTCATCTCGTAGACTTCTGGGTTGTGGCCTTAAATTTTTCTCTCCTACTTTACAAATTGATCAATTTTATGCAATATAGAATTGCTTGGGAAGAACAAGAACAGAAGATAATTCTTTATGTCACTAAGGTGATTGATGCTCAATTGTTTGATTTTCAAAATAAAACAAATTTTAATTTTCCTGATTAATTTTCTACCAGAATGAAATGCAGCATTTTTAGGGAAATTAAAGAGCATTGTGCCCCAGACATATCTCAGCAGCATTGCAGAAACCTTGTCCTTTGATAGCTTTTTGTTTCACTGAGGACCTACCTTTGTTTAGGTAGAAAGAAAAGTGGTCGTGGGCATTCATCTTTTTCATGCCTCCTTAAGAATGAGGTGGCTGTCTCCATTATCACAAAATACCTGAATAAAGAAAGACATCATTATTGTGACAATGATGAATATTCATTTGCTACAGTGTTGAGATCACCTTTGCATTTTAATTTTGTTTGCTTGCATTAAATTGTGAATTATAGTGTAAGGGAAATTTCAAGCAGGTTTTAGCTATGTATTTCAACTTATTGAATGATGAGGAAACCATTTAAAAATTACACTTATCATCTTACCTGATGTAAATCAGGCCACCCTATCAGTTTATAAAACGAATTAAAAAGTTAAAAGCTTTTCCTTGCAATCCATGGTTCGCACATGGTTTGTGCTATGCCTTATGCCTTGAAGGTAAGAGGGTTGTATTCCTTGCTCTAAACAAGACAAAACCGCTCTCTTTGTCATTCATCCTGTGGATTCCTACTGACTTTTCCTTAATCACCTCAGGTTACTAGATTAGACAGAATAGCCTCTTGTGATTGGGGCAAGAGTGTCCATCACCTGAGATGGCGATGCTGCTCCTGAAATCTGCCCTCTCTGGGGTGAAATGATTGTTGAGTGTTGAAGATTGTTCTGGCATTGATCTTATTTTCAGGTCCTAGCTCACGTTTAGCTCTTTCTTTCCAAAGGTCTGTATGCTAATTACAGGCAAAGACTCTGCTGAGACCAAATGTAGGCATAAATTCAAGAAGGATGTGTGCACGAAAGAATTCTTGGAAGCAACCAAAAAAAGGCTCAAATCTGGCCCCATGTGTTTTACTCATTCATTTATTCATGGATTCAGTGAATATTTATGGAGTATTTACCGGTGTGTCAGAGCTTACTACTCCTAACTATGTTGGAGAAGACTGTCAGGGAATGTGGAAGAGAAGATGATCCTTCACCTAGGCTTGGGGTGGGGGACTGGGGGGCAAAGAGAATATTAGGTACTTTCCCACTGCTCTCAGTATCAAAATCGAAATGTAGGCCTGCAAGATTGTTTATCTCTGATTCTCTAGCCTTTCCACTGCCCTCTTTGTTTTCTAGCTCAAGTAGCCTCCCAAGTCAAGCTTAGCTTTGAACATTTCTTGCTGCTTTTGCACCACAGGACCATTGCACAGGCTTTTTCTCTATAAAATATTCTTTGATTCTTCATCTTCTATAATTTCTCAATCCATATCTATGTCAGGTCCTTTTTATAGTCTTGCTTGGGTTATTTTTGTTGACAAATGCATAGTGTCTAGACCGGAAAGATATAGCCAACTGACACAGGGTAACTGGAGGAAAGTTTGTAGAGGGACCCGACAAATAGTGAAGTAGGTTTGTGAGAAGGAATGATGGGTGGTGTATATTCCTGAGCTGAACGTCCAAAGGTAAAGAAGCAGTCAGCTGCACCAGCAGAAGGACTATTTGGGAAGGACCACCTGATAGGAGTAGTGTTTGCTACGTGGAAGCAGTGAGTCATTGCCAGCATGTCAGGGAGGGAACTAGAGCCCTAGATAGAGTCACCCTACTCTTCTTCGCCCTGTAGATCTTCCACTGGTGCCTACCTCTGGAGAAGTCTAACCAGATACCGGGGGACAAGCAGATACTGATAAAGTCTGAGTAGGTCAGGCTCACAGGGCAAGGAGGGCAGGAAAGGGTGGAGTGCCAGCCAGGAGTGGCAGGCGGTGGGTATCCATCACTCCAGTGTGTGTCTTCCACACAGCAGAGAGATTGATACCTGTAGCTGGCTTGAGCAAATGTGGCAGAGTGAATGCATTTTGCCAGGAGAAGAAGAGAAGGATTGGGCATTCTGTAGAAAGAGAAATTTCCATACACTCTGAAGTATGAGAGATCCTAGTCCTCTGTGGGAACTGTAATTCATTTTATGGAGGTGAAAAGTGAGAGTACTTAAGCAAGGACCAGATCATGGAGTGATTATAGGATTCATCTAGAGGTTTTGTTCCAAGGTTAATGGGGAAATAGCAAAATGTGCTTTTAAATAAGTATTTGTTATGAGAAAAGCACAGTATAAAAATAGACAAAATAATATATTGACCCTCACGTGCCATCACCTAGCTTATAACAGTATGTAATGTTCAACACATGGGCAATCTTCTTTCTGTCCCTACCTTGACCACCTCCCCTATATTAATGTGAAGCACATCTCTGGCATTATATCACTTACTTATAAATATTTCTGTATGTGTTTTTAGAAGATAAGACTTATGAACACAACTATATGCCTTATATCTGAAAAATATTAAGGCAGTAGCATCTGAATATTAACCATTTACTGAGTGCTCAAACATCCAGTTGTCTTGCAAATGTCCCTTGCGTCCTTGTGCTCTGTGAGTTTGAACCAGGATCCAAGTAAAATTTATTCATTGTAATTGATTAACGTGACTCTTATGTATCTACAGGTTTCTGCCCATCTCTTTACGTTCTTCATTTACTTATCGAAGAAACCAGGCTGTTCATCCTGTAACGTTTCCCTGAGTTTGAATTGTGCTGATTATTCCTGAGCTGTCAGCTAACATGATCCTCTCCCTTGCTGTTTCTTTAAGTTGCTGGTTGGATGTGGATACATCATTTTCATCCTCCCACCCCCCAAATCTACTTTGTGGGTAGTGTTTCCTTCTTCCGGAAGAGGATAGGTAATATCTACTTGTCTCTCTGGTGTGACTAGTAGTCCCTGATGAGCATTGTCTGGATCCAGCAATCATTAGAGATTGGCAGAGTAGTGATATTCTAATTCTATCCTTTTTCCTGATTAACTGGAATATTTCTATAAAGAGCAATTTCACCCATCATTGGCTACTTGGTTACATAATTGGTATAGGAAAAGCAGGATAACAGATTTGTATTATTTATATGTCTTCAAAATAAGTAATTCACTAACCTCTTCGGATGGTGACCATTGTTTTAAATGGATTTGAGTTTTTCGGACACTTGCTATTCCAAGTTTGGGTCTGTGTACCCTCCCCTCAAATCTGGGTGGGCTTACAAATACTTGGCAAGTCAGGTACAGTGGAAGTGACCCTGGGTAACTCAGGGTTCTGGATCATGAAAGGCCAAGCAGCCCATGGGAAATACAGGTCATACTGATGGTCTCTAATTAATAGGAATTTTATAAGTTTCAGGTAATATTTGTCATTTAAAATGTTTCCCTGCCTTCATTCATGTAATGTTAGTCATAAATATTTATTGAACACTTATTAATCCACAAATACTTATTGAATTCATAAATGACACTCTGCTACATGAAACAGATATGAAATGGACCCAGAGACCAGCCCTGTCCTCAGGGTGCCCACAGTTCAGTGTTATGGGAGGACACAAAAAAACACAAGCAATTACTGTGTTCTGGCATCATAAATTCTAGGAGAAAGGCATGTGTAGAGCTAGGAAGAATTGAAACCAAACAGTGCTTATAAAATGGGGAAATCAGCAAAAATTGCACATAGAAGGCAGGAGTGCCTACGGAAGAGATTGTGAGCGTCCGTTCTGTGGGGGAATGAGCCTGAGAGAATGTGGTGTCCTAGAGCTCTCATGATGGCTCAGTGATGGCACATCTGCTGAAGAAAGATGCTGGTATGGAGAAAGGATAGGACAGGACCAGTTTTTTGTAACCATGAAGCAGAAGGTTGGGAGAGATGGAATGAGACAGAATCAGATTTGCAGTTTAGAAAGATTGCCTGGATGTCTGGGTGGCAGGTGACCAGAATCTTTCCTGCTGGACGCAGAGAGACAAAGCAAGATGTTGGTACTGAAGCCCAGATGCAGAAATGGGAGGCCTGGAATCCAGGGAAGAAAGTGGTAATGAAGGGGGTCGATGGGCAACTTCAAGGGTTATTCAGACACGGTAACTTATTGTGGAGGGTGAAAAAGGACTATACATGAATTCTGGCCGGCTAGGATAGGCCATTAGGTAAATGGTGAATATGTTAGAGATGTGGAGAATATAAAAGAAATATAATATTGCCAAAAAATGAGTTGTGTTTTTTTAACTGTATTTTAAAATTTTATTTTAATTCCAGTCTAGTTAATATACAGTGTTGTTAGTTTCAGGTGAATGACATAGTGATTTAACAGTTCTATGTATTGTGATATTAATGGTTTTATATATTTATATATATTTTATATATTTATATTTATATATTGTGATATATAGATATGTAGTTATCTAACAGTTCTATATATATATATATATATATAAAGTTCTCTCTCTATATATAAGTATATCGATATATAGTGATTTAACAGTTCTATATATTACCCAGTGCTCAATTTATGTAAGTTAAATTTGAAACCCCTATAAGGCATCCAGGGAGATAGAAACAATTTGAAATATATGTTTAGAGCTCATGGGATCCTTCCAGGTTGGGAGAGAGGGTTTGGGGGTCTATCAGATCTCCTTCCCTCCCATCCCATTAGTAGGAAAAGGAGAAGAATAATAGTTGATAGAAGCTGGTGAAGAGAAAATGGAATACTAAAATTACATCAATTATTTCTTCTCTTTATATGATACGAATCATGTAAAAAAGCATAGCGGCTAGCATCAAATGTGGATCTCAGATTCTAGTGACTTTAGATTGCTTCCAAGATTAAAAATTAA